TTAAGGGGGACCATGAGTTGGCGGTTTGTTTAACAACTTTTGCCGTGTCAACCCTTGTAAAACTATCCCAAAAAAACGGTCAATCGCTTCACAACCAAAAGCTGCCAAGCCATTCTCAGGCTGGTCCCTGAGCCCAAACCCACCCTAAGGTTCCAAGAGCCTTTCAGGTGGACGGAGGTGGAGAATAGGATCCAAAATTGAGCCCTCTTGGAATTCCCAATGGGCCAAGAGGGGGGAGGATCTGGCTAAATGAGTAAGGCATTCACCAAATGTTTATGTCTTGGTCGGGTGACCAATCCGTCAATGGAATGTCACTCACAAAATCTCACAAATGTACAACAGAAGAGAGAACAGCGCTGGAGATAACACCGAAAACAAAAAAGAGAATGCCCAATCAAGAACACTTCTTAGATGAGCTGGCTTTATCCTGCATAAGCTCCGCTTTCTCACACATCGGTCTGGCACCTTGGCATCAAAAGGTTCCCGGAGTTCCTGTTCAAATCCACCGATTGGCCGATTTGAGGCGAGAGTACCTGTCACGGAGTCATGGCCATGGCGACGAGGCGACGTCCTGCCTGTCTTTTCCGGGTACCAGCACTTGAGGGATGCTTTGCCCTCAGCCCGCAGCGATAGCGAGCTATCCATCGCCCAGTCTGATTTGGGCAGGATGCCGCGTGGGACCCGGGAGGGTTTTTCTTCGCAAGGAAAAGCTCGGGAAAGAACAAGAAATGAAGCCCATTGTGATTTTGATGTCAGCTTGGGTCCAAGTCTCATGGAAGGGTCTGAAAGATTTGGTCCAGAACTTGGACAAGCGCCCCCCCCCCCAGTCGCTCAGGTTCCGAATCGAGCCTCTACCGGAAATAATAAAAAACGGTCCTATGCGGTGCCTCAGTTGGGCACTCGGCAAGGGCGGGTTGGACCATCTTGGTACATAGTTTGAACCATTGGTTCAAGTGCTTGGGGTTCCCTACGTGAATCAGTTGTCCAAGAACTGGAATGGGTCCACTTGAGCCAAAGTGTTCCCAAGTGGACCCTTGCGCTGATGTAATACAACTCGTACACCTACGGCTACCCTTTCACCCAGGTGAATCAGTGGCTGGCCCCAACCTCTTTGAGCCTTTCGCACGGGGCCCGGTGTTTCAATATCTGAGGCAAGAGCCTCGTCTGCCTCTCTCAGCTTCTGCACCACTTTGTACCAACCTGTCGACCCATCAAAGTCCCCAGAACGCTGGCAGGATTTTTCTCCATGGGCCACACCCTACAAGTTATCCAAATTTGGTTTAGTCCTGGGTCCCCCTTGAGCATCCGACAAAATACAACCCAAAAACAAAACCACGAACCTCTGGCCGTGAGCCCGCCAGCCCTCGGGCCCGCGAGCTCCCTGGATCCCTCGCCTGGATCGCGAACCGGCCAAACAGGGTTGAAGGGGAAGGTGTATCCTGGGCCGAACGACAAGCAGGTCGTAGCTTCTTTGCCTCTCTGAGTGAAGTTGGAGCTTCTAATATTGCAATGGAATTGTGAACTTGGTCCACCTCTGGTCCCGACGGGCGCCGAAACGAGCAGCAAAGCGTGGCCGGGCGCCCGCGCCGTCGTCCACGCGCTTCGACAGAAAGTCCCTCAGCTCCAGCTCGCTGACACCTCAAAAGTGAAAGAAGAAGCGTCAGGCCCTCTCGGGGGGGGGGGGGGGTGGGCAAACCTTGCTAACGTGTCCTTTTCAAGAAAAAGGATGGATACGGATGGATTTGTCTGCTGGTGCCTTGGAAGCAAGCTGAAGCAAATGGCGCAATCTGCAGTTGATTCGAGGGAACTGGCCTGAAAGGACACCGATGATCACCAACCCAAGGGGAACTCACTTAAATTGGTCCACCCTGCCAATACTCAAAACAGGTTGAAGAGGACACTCTTTGGGTGAGGAGAATATTTGGATAGGGCTTGTGGCTTGTGGCTTGGGAGTTCGACGAAGGTAAGGTCTGCACTGGTGAGAAACCTCAGACTGAGCTCCCCAGCTTCGCCAGGGAGGATCCTGGAAGCCGTCCCACACGATCAGGAACTCCTGCGGCCAAGTCAGACCTGCCTGAAAGCAGGGCCGCGACCGGCAGATGGGACCGGGTCCCAGAACTACTGGCATTCGGATTCTTCGGGAAGTTCAATCATTTCTTGCTAGGAAGGCACGCTCGCCACGGGTTTTTTCTCCCACTGGGCACAGTGATCTGAGCAAAGCCCAGTGAAGCCCTGTCGAAGAGGTGTGCCTGAATCTGATGGCCAGTTTGATCACGGATTCTGTCTCTCTCAAGCTTGGTACTCGGTTTGGCCAAGGCTGCATGCATTATAATTATGCAACAAACAAGCTTCGCGACCTTCCAGGTGATTCGAGGCTTGGAACCAACAGCCCCTCTGTGCAAGAAGGGCTCAGCGATATTGCGCTTGAGCAACTGGTGCTCACTCGAATCATATGCTTCGAAACTCAAAATCCCGAGGATCTGCGGACACGCTCCCCCCAACTCGCCCATGCACATGCCCTTCTTTCCTCTGCTCTAATTTATGCCGCCGGGGACTCTTGTTCCAACCTTACCATTCAACCACCTCCTTGTTCCCCGTCGGTGGCCCTCCTCCCGACGCCCGAACCACATCCACGGATCTGTGTCCGGCGCAACCGCCCCTTCCGCCCCCTCCCCCCCCCCCCCCCCAACCGGAGCAACCGAAGGACTCCTGATCCAACTCCTGCGGGAAGTAGAAGTTGAAGCACTCCGCCCCGTGGCGCACGGCCCCGCAGGCGGAAGTCTCCGTCACCACGTCGTCGATGAGACCTAGGCCAAACAGGACCTCTGGAGTTCAGGGCTGGGGACCTTCCAAGGGAACCTGCAAAAAGGTCCCCCTGAAAAGAGGGGAATGGCCCAAATGGCCCAAACCGAAAGGGGAAACCCCAAGATTCCAATCGGGTACCCCTGTTGGGAAAGCAGCAGCCAGGTGACATTTTCTTGGGAACCCTTTCCAAAACTGGCAACCTGTGATCGTTCCCAGAGAAATTGCTTTGGACATGGCCAACTCGCTTCCCCTTATGGATCGACGGGCCGCTCCGAGCTGACATCCCTGCCTAATTCCCTCAAAGGTACAAAACATAGAGCCTTCACCTCCTCAAGACCTCCCTTCAGAGCTCTGCGCCTCCCCAAGACCCCCCAAAGGGGAGCAAAAAACCGCCTGGTTCTCCCAAGACCCAAGGGGAGCCAAAAACCGCCCCCGGTGACTCCCCAAGACCTCTGCGTCTTGGGGGGCAGCTCTGCCAGAAAAACCGAAAGCTCCGCACTCCCAGCGGCTGCAGGAGGTCTCGTCCCCGAAGCCGTACTTGGGGATGGTGGGGTGGAAGCCCTGGCCAGGCTCACCCGGAGAGGAAATGGGGCGAGCTCGTCCTTTCGGCTTGAGGCTCGGCTCCCCCATTCGGTGGCTTTTAAAGGGAAGCCAACAGGAGCACCGAAGCCATGAAGGGGATTCTGGGGGGTCCGAATCCTCAGACCCATCCAAATGCTTGGAGTAGAACTGCCTCTTTGCCGTGGCTGTGGCTTTTCGGAGGTACCAGGGCTGGGGGCAGGGGATGCGCCATTTTGGAGGCTGGTCTTTAAATTGAAACCAACACGAAGCACGAAGAGCACCGTTTGAAGAGTGCGGACACCTGATATTTTGACACACCCATCAAAGAAAATCCCCCTGAAAACAGTGGTCGTCCGTCCTCAATCCCTCGAAAGCAAGATGGCAACTTGAAAAAGGGTGTCCAATTCCCGTTTGCAGGTGTCCTGTTGGAAAACAGATGGGATTCCGCGAAATGAAAAAGAGGAGCGAAACTGAAGCCGGACCACAATGCTGGGTGCTGGATGGGTCTTGGATTTGGGAAAACTACCCGGCCCCATTTGGTTTCCTACTGAGCAGGTTCAATCTTCTGGGCTCTTTCCCTGCCATTTCTCACCGCCCCTCCGACTTTTCGGGTGAACCCCGAAGCCTTGTTCGCCTCGTCCTTGAGCACATCCAGCCATCTGCCAGTCCATCCTGGACGAATGTCCAAAGATTTGAGGGCTCCACGGCACAGACGATCAAAGGCAACAAATATTGATGACCCTGTGTTTGGCATCATGTAAGTGAGTATGTATGTCTTCAACCATGTTTCAGGGCACCCCTGCTTGAAAGTGGCAACCAAACTTTACAACCCTTGGTATGGCAGCAAAAAACAACGCAGCCCCCCTAAAATGAACAGAACCAACCAACCAAAAAAAACTTGCCAACAACAATGAACATGCGATGGATATGCAATTGCTCCATGGGTGGTTAGTCTATCCCTCTGGGCCCCTGTGTGCTACAAGGTCTTTAATGCCTCAAATGGGACTGTGGGAACCATAGACGTGGGAGAACTCTTGACAGCGTGAGTGAATATTCCGCCCGTCCCATGGTAAAGCTGCCAAAGGGTCAAAAGGCGACCTTTGAAGGGCACCTATGATGCAGGCTTCTTGCTCTTGGGAGTCGCTTGAGCAAAGTCCTCCCACATTGGTTTCCATTTGCTTGGCTTGGTTTTCGCTACCGAGAAGCATGGGCGATCCAGCTGGGTACGAGTTGAGTCTCTATCGGGGAGGCTTGGTGGGTAGGTGTTACATGGCGCAGCTTCCCATTTGGGGTGTGTGTTGTTTGACTCACTCCCTGAGTTCATGGACGTTAAAACTTTGTGGGAAGACCATTTTAGTGGTAATCAACAGTTTGCATTTGTTTTGCCAATCCACTCAGGAAGTGAGTTGAGGATGCCCTTTCTGAATTGGTCTTGAAGGGACAACAAAAGGACAACTGCCAGCTAGGGAATAGCCGCACATCATGTTGGTGGTTGCATAAATCCCATGTAACACATACCCACCAAGCCAAAAAGTGTTAAAGTCCATGAACTCAGGGAGTGAGTCAAACAACACACCCCCAAATGGGAAGCTGATTTGCACGCCGATTCGTCCGCGGCCCCGTCCTTTGGCCGTGGGCTGCTGGAGTAGCTCCTCCGTGTGCTTCAAAGACCAGTGGATCAGCTCGATCCTCGAAGCGATGCTTCGCAGGATCGAAGGCGGGTTGGCTGGTTGGCTGGTTGGCTGGTTGGCTGGTTGGCTGGTTGGCTGGTTGGCTGGTTGGCTGGTTGGCTGGTTGGCTGGATGGCCGGTTGGGTTGGCTGGTTGGTTGAATGACTTGTTGGCTGGTTGGTTGCCTGGGGTCCAGAAACGACGAAGGACGGTGGACCGTTTTTCCTGGATACCCCCTCTAGCAGTTAGCCATATACAGGTCAGCCAAAGGGAGAAAAAGAAGAAGAAGAAAAAAAAAAAAAAAAAAAAACGAACCGATTGGCCCCTTTTGCAGACAAGACAAAACGCCCCGTGACTCCGTCGGACCGGAGGAGCTCGTGGCCAAGGCCGGGCCGCTGCTTCTCCGGGATCGGGGAGTAAGAGAAGCCGCGGCTGCCTCACGGGGTGTGATACCCACTTAAGTAGGCCCTTCAAATCCCTTTTTCTTCGGTAGGTTCTCCACCTAAACCAAATATCAGCCCCAAAACGTGGCAAGCCCAGCGTTTTCCCACCCTTCCAAGAATGGAGCTTTGCAAGAGGGCCAGCCCAGCCCAAACGGTCCAAGTACCTTGTGAGAAGATTTTTAGACCCTCCGGGAATAGAGACTTTACAACACACGTTGGGACCACTTTTGTTTGGGGGGGGTAGTCCGGAGTCCCAAGAGCCCCTGTTTTACTCCATGGGCTTAAACTTTAAACACCTCCTTCGACGAAAACGCTTCTCCAAATTCCAAGCTCGTCCGGGTCTTCCCAAACCTTCGCAAATCGAGCACCTGGAACAAAAGCTGTCGTCAAGCCCTCTTTACCGCGCTCCACCTTGAAAGCCTGTGATTTGTGGTTACTTGCAACCTGGACCTTCCATTGTTACACAAACTTCTGTAACAAATGATACTGGTTTACTTGCAATTCAGCACCTCCATCGTCTCCATTCCGAGCGAAGCGAGGCGAAGCCCGGCCCACGGTGAAGGTGTCGAAGTCCGAGACCACCGGCTTCACCGCGCTCTCCGCGTAGGCGATCAGCAGGCCCAAAGGGTTCCTCTGACAAAGAATGGGGGCGTCACGGACGGGAAGCCAACCCCAAACGATTCGGCAGCAGCTTGTTTTGAGGGTACAGTACCCTTTTTGAGTTGATTCTAGTGTTAAGGACAACAAAAGAGGATGCGGGGGGGGGGGGGTGTCCCTATTGTGAGACACACCTGTTTGGGGCAAAATCGGAGGATTCAATGCTTCGGGTGGGATCAGGGCACGTGGCTCACCATGACCCATCAAGGGGGGCCATGTTGTTCAGACCTCCCATCTTGGTTGGAGGCTTGAGCTTTTTTCGGGATCTTTGGACACCTATCGCCATTGTTCGAAAAAACATACTTTTTTTCCACCAAAGGGCAGCGCATGAACATAAACTTCATCCGCGGGAAATTGTGCTCGGCCCCTCCCAAGACGATAGACGATTGGATTTGTTTGACCGAACCTCAAATGGATCAGTCGAGGCAAAATCGGAAAGCAGAACGGCCATAATCCTGCGGCTGTTCGACAATCATTCTGCAACATGTGCAAAGAAATCCAAAAAATGAAAAATATGAATTGGATGCCCAAGCTCGCCAAAAAAGCTGGCAGCGTTGCCAAACCTGCAAAGCACGTGGGAAAATCAGCATTATGGGGGGGAGGGGCCCACATGGCATCGCCCCTTATATAAGGGGCCTTAGACCTTCATGGACCCCGCGTTTGAGATGGTGTTGCCGATCAGTGAGCGAGCTTCACAATTGGCCCAAATATGTCACCCCCCCCGAGAAACTACCCGTGTTCGGCCGGAAAACTTTCAGGGAAAGTTACATGAACCCAGGAAAACGCAGAGTAGTAGAGAAAGGGAGGAAGGAAGAAGGAAAAAGCGGAAGTGAAGTTTTACGTCGGCAAAACTTGGGAAATTGGGGGGAGGGGAGGTTAATCAGTCAATCCAACGCGACCCAAATTACTGGCCAGGCGCATGGGATCCGTGGCGTCGTGCTGAAACAGCACCACCTCTGGTAGCGACTTGTCCCGGACAGCATGGAGGTTCCTCGGCAAGTGGGTCGGCGTCCCACGGGTTTTTGGCTTGGGGGGTTGGATGGGTGTCACATGGTGTCACAATCTTATTAGGATCGCCTGTTGACCCTCTGCAAAAGGCTTAACTTTTGTGGTTTCCAGAACTGTCTGTACATCCACCCTCTCACTAATTGGTGGCTTGGATTGGTGGTTTGGCAATTAGAGGGTGGTTTCCCATTTAGCCTACCAATCCAAACAGTTAAGGGGTGACACGCGAAAGCACTCGCTTGGTCAGGGGTAGTGGGTTGGGAGATGTTGGGAGGTGCTGGAAAATATTCGGATACTTTGGCTACAGCACAGGGCTCGCGTTCCGAGGGAGACCAGGAGGCAGTGCACAAACCCGAAACCACTCGAAACAGAAGTTCAACTTCTTTGAAGGCTACTCGCGCGTCAAAAAAAAGAAGTTGAACTTTCCATACAAGTCCGACTTTCACTGCCAGTCAAGCTGTCATATTCCAGAGCTGATATTCCAGGGTCCCCCACGCCCCATTCATGTGTTCGGCCGACTGTAAGGACCCAAACAATTTCACCGGGGTTGTGGGTTATGAGTACCCTCAAAAAGATGATTTAGCCCCAGTTCGGGGTGTCTCAAAGTTGGGGATTCCCCAAATGCTGGCTTCCCTTGAAAACACAACAACCAAGAACCTCCCTTTTGCTTAAGTCCCTGGCAAAATCTCAAAATATGTCCAGTAACTAGTCGTAGCTTCCCTTTAAACCCAACCGGGGAAATCAACAATACTACCATGTCTTTATAGAACTCCTGGTAGCTCCTTAGCTCCTGGATGCACCCAGCTCCTTACCTCCCTTCCAACTAACAGCTGGAGAAAGGTGTGGGTCGAGAATTGGTACCCAAAATAGAACCCTGGTAGGCGGAAACAAGCTGACTAAAACCTGCAGTCCCCTGGTGGTTCGATTTGACCCCGGCCCATAACCATTTTCTTAAGCAAGCAGCTGAAAGAGTTCCCCTACTTGAAGGGGCAGGGTAAACCCACTTAGAAGACTTATAGCCATGGCAAGTGGGTTATAACTCAAGTTATACCCATAAATAAGTACCATGCCCCGTTAAGTATGAAGAACCTCCTCAGGTCCTTTCGAGGCGCATGTCCATGAAGGCCGGCTCCGAGTCCCGACCCGTCTCCCAGCCCAGCACCGGGCTGATGTCGTGCCTGCGCTGAGTTGCTTTCTCATGTCTTCTGATTTGGCATGTCCGTTTCTTGTTTGTTGTTTCTTTGCTTTTGTTGTTCTTGGTTGTGTTCCGTTTCTGTGCTGAATTGGCATGTGCTGCTCTTGCTTGTTGTTTCTTTGCTTCTGTTGTTCTTGGTTTCGTGTATTTGTTCTTCTTGCCTGGTATCTATGTCTGTTCTCATCTTTGTTTGCCTTTTGTTTTTCCTTGCGGCTCCCCCAATTTTGGGGTTCCAAGTAGACATGGCCAGAATGGAAAGACACCTCAAGGGGAAGGGGAGCGTACCCGCGTGCATTACCTGCTTGCAGGGAACACTTCACCTGGTTCAGTGGCGTCCTCGTTCCTTGCCAACACCTTCAAGTCCATTGGCTTCCCAACCAAAAGTCCATGGAGGGGATCGATCCCAATTTTGGATGCAATGCCTCACAACACCCAACCATCCTGAAAAAACACCACCCCAACATGAAAAGGTACCCCCATGTCGGCAACGGAGATCGGGATTCCCGATGTCCGGCATTTGAAGGAGGGGTCACTGGAATTCAGTTCGCCTCCAGCTTGTTTGGCCGATTGGATGGTTCAGAATCATCTCTCAGGTGCACCCTCCTTACCCTCTGCCCCTTAGGGACCCAGAAACTTTGGAAAGGCGATCACCAAAAGGTGACCATGACCATGGAACAAGGGAAAGCCATGGCTCAGATCAGGTGGATTCGCTTTTGAAGAACTGAGTCCCTGTTAACCCCAAGTAAATGACATCTTTTCACCCTTGCGGCCTCCCATCTGTCCATTTGACCCCCCGGCCTCATGATGTAAACCTCCCGCATCAGGGGCTCGGGGACGTCCAGACCTGAGTCGCCCCCAAAGTTATTGGCTTCATAAACCAAATGCAGCCCTTCACTCCGAGCCTTATACTAAAAAAAAAACAGCGCACAAAACATCACAGGACAAGCAATAGCTCACCAAGGAAAAAAAGTCCGATTGGTGATCCCGTGGGAGTCTGCTTCGCACGCCAAAGCCCTCACCTCTCCCGTGCTGATTTCTGGGGCGCCCGCCGTAGGACAAGGGCTCGTAGGTGTCAATGACCTTGATCTCCTGAAGCGAAAGCTCTGCAGTGGTTGGGTCAAATGTCACCCGGATCTTTGGTCAAGGTTTCATGTTCATCCATGACATATTGCCGGCGGAAACGCCCTACAACATGTGTACTCGCCTGATTCAAAGAACCTGGTTCCCCCTTCTAATGTCCCTTCCCCTACTTCAACTTCCCTCGAGTCCGTCTGGATTGGAGCGCGGCGGTTTGGTGGAGTGGTTTCCCATTCGCCCTCGAGAACCAGGGGTCAAATCCCCAAACCACCACTCCAAACCAGCAACTTTCACGGCTACCTCAACACCTGCAATGTCTGGGGCATCCGCAGCACCGATTTCGGCTGGCCGCTTCCCCTTCTCTGAGTTTGAAGGGCGAGGTCGCGCTTTTCATGGGAATTGGCGCACGGCATGGTACAAGCATTGCACTGCATTTCATTGCATGTTGCAATGTGTTGCGCTGGGTTGGGTATGGGTCAAAATACAACCACCAGAAAACCGCATGGCTTAGTCTTTGGTTCCATTTACCAGGGTTCTACTTTGGGTCCGCATTTTTGACCCACGCCCTTTAAGCATCTTCAAGGCATAAACGGCTTAGACCTCCTCATTTCTGGGTTCCTTTCCTGAGGTGCAGTGTTCTTATAACGCCCAGTCGGCCCAAGCCGGCTCTCTGCAACCAAAGGCACAGGCACATCGATCTTCAGGGACTGCTCCTGCAGTCGACAAGTCAGCTTATCGTGAAAACAAAATTGAGGGGGCGTCTTAACATAGGGGATGGGGTTCCTGTTGGGCGTCCCTGTAAAAGCAACAAAAAACAAGAGAAGGAGAAAAAGAGCAAAACAAAAGTTCAATTCTTTTGGGGGACAGCTGGGTGGTCGACCCCTCCTTTTCCCACCGATGGAAAACACAGGCCGGACCCATGCCCAATTCCAGATGTTTTTTTAGAACATGGAACTAAAGGATCTTTCTACTTCCGCTATAGTGTTCCCACTTCCTGAGCGGACCCAAAAGAAAGAGTCTGAACTGTCTATTTCCCAAGCTGGTCCAATCCCGACAAGATTCAAGTCCAGGACCTCAAAAAGTGAGTCTTACCGTCGTATCATGGGGTTGGGGGAGGCGATATGGTTGGTGTGTGTTTTTCTTGGTTTTGCTTGTTTTTGGGGGGTATTCCAGCTACAAAATCTTGAAATCGGTTCAAGCACCTCCCACCCCCCTCCGCCCCCCCTCGCGCGCTGCAACCCATTCGCCGGGACCCGTCCCATTCGCCTTGAGCACGGCCTGCAGCGCCTGGCGTGCTGTCTCCATGGAGCTCGCGGTCTTGTAGAAGATCCTGAGGCCAGTCATCTTTGAGCCCAAAGACATCCACCCCTAAAGGGTGGCCTTTTTCTTTTCTGGCCCCCATTTCGCTTGGAAGGCCCCCACCCAAAAAGAACAAACAACTTGTGCGACGCCATTGCTACTGGTTCCGGTTTATCTTTCGGGCTTCCCGGAAATGGGATGTTGGCCCCCCATTCGCTGGTTGTTCTTGTTGGCCCCCTTGATTTTGGCCCCTGCTGGAAAACGACGTTTGCCTTTGTCTCCCTCTCGGATTGCCCCAAAACACATGGGGGATGGTGGGCTGATGTTGAACCACTGTGCTGGTTCTGGTTTGGTTCAAGGGTAAATCCCTCCATTCTTTCCTGGGATGCTATTGGCTCCCAGCCAGTGACTTGTGCCTCCCTTGAGTTTTCGAGCGACACTGGAGTTTGGCAGCTAAGTGGCACCCAATGTCATTCCCTTCACACTGGACGGTGAATATTGACACGACTTCGTCAACACGCACATCGAGAAAGCAAATGTAACGGAGAAGCTCTGTCCAGCAAAGGCAACAGGGCGGGGACCTGGTGTTCCCAATACCTATAAATTCACCCCAAGGCGCTTGGTGCGCGCATCAGAGGGAGACTCCTCGATCTTGGTCTTGTGCTCGTTCTGGCCTTTCAGCGGGAATCAAAATGATCGGCAGGTCGCACTGGACCAAAGCAAAACATGGCCTTTTGTTGCGAATGTCACGGCGCGTGCGTCTTAATCTGACTCGCTGCAATGATCTGCTTGAAAAAGGAGATCCTTAAGCTGGACAGCTGACTCTACAGTTGCTGCCGCCCCCCTGCGCCGGATTTGCACCACTGGTCCAATCGGAACCTGCCCTTCTTGCAGTCAAGCTGCTAATTTGCAGGAATGGGACCTGGCCGCCATCCGCCGAACCGACATAGCAAGTTAGAGCAAATAATCTTCAGCTGGAATCCACACCAAAAGCTGGCCACTGAACGGCATGGACCCATTGAATCTGCAATCCCCTGCATGATGCATATTTCTAGGGTTGATTCTTCATTATTTTCGTCCATGTTCGTTTCAAAATCCACCCGCTTTTTCCCCAGGCACTCCTAGAATATTCGCTGCTTCGCTTGTACTTAGCTTGACTCACTCGCCGCACTCCGGCTCACCCACATCTGTCCCGGTTGTTCAGTCCAAGGTGCAAAGGCGGAGAGGCGGTTCTTCTTCGCCGACTTGCCCTTGACGTTGAGGCCCTTCCCCACCCCAACTCTGCCTGGACGGGAAGGGAAGCCACCCAGAACCCCCACCAATTGCACCTGGGGCGTGGGGGAAACCTTGGGAGACGCGCATCTGATTGTGGTGGGGGGGAAGAAAGGCCAAGAAACGACCAGGGCGCCAAATGTTCTTAAGGGGACCTCCCCCCTCCCCCAGAAAAAAAGAAAGAAGTTCCTTTCTAAAAAAAAAAAAAATGGGAAAGAGGGAAGCGCCGCACCCTTCGTTCCCCCACGTCGCGCCAGCGGCGCGGCAGGCGCGCGCGCTCACGCGCTCACGCCTAGCATCTTGGCGATGGAGTCCCGGCTGCACGGCCGGTAGACCACGAACCACTGGCTCTTCTTCGTCTGGTCCGGCTTCAGGTTCCTGGGCAAGCCGCGCAGAACCCGGCGGAGAATGAGGCAAACAGACACAAGTCAGGCCGAAAGATGAGGGCACGGCGCCGCAGCCTTTGGAGCTGCTTAAGGGAAACCAAGAGGGGACCAACATGTTTTCCCGCATTAGCCGGACGAGGTCGAGGGGAAGCATGTGCCGCCGGGTGCTGTCGAACTACGGGTTGGAAGGATCCGGCCCTTGCCCAGACCCTCAGACCCGCCCCCTCCCGTTTCTTCCTGGTGCTCAGCAGGGATTGAGGCAATAAACAATCCCTTGCGGTTTCCTTTGAGGGGATTCTGCAGATTCCCAAATGGTTTATTCCCATTCCCTACCGAGAACCAGCAAGTCTTCTGACGGCTGATTTGCCGTTGCCTTCACTACCAATGAAGGTGAAGAGCGGTCGCTTCTCCTCGTGTGTTTGTGAGGCTACCACTGTTCAGGTAGGTTCAAAGGGAACCAAAAGGAAAACCAAGCATTTGGGGGCCCCTAATTTTGTCACGTCATCTGAGCAGCCCCCCAAACCCATGGACTTTGGCTTCTACAAGTGCCTCACTACAACCCACATCAGCGCCAGAAGGAAACCAACCATTTCTGGGGATCCCCATATGGATAAAAACTCTAAATGCGGGGCTAGCCACTAAAATCATGGGTGTCCCTTGGTTTCCATTTCAACCAACCCGCACAAACTTGCTGGTGCTCAGAGAATGAGAAACGGAATGACCCCTACAAACCATCCAACTGGCGGTTTCCTTTAAGGGGACCACACCCCGGCGTTTTTTTTCATTCCCACATTCCCTACCGAATTATCCCGGCAGCAATAGGCCAAACCCCGGCCCACAGGCGACGAACCACCGGATCCGCGGATCCGCGAATGCCCTGCATCCAAGGCGCTTGCGCTGCAGCGTGCCGGCCGGCCCCCGGGCGTCGCCTCGAAGCGAAGCGGTATGACCAGACCCTGCGACTTGAGGGGTAAACGGGGCCGCCTTGTAAGGGGTGAACGAAAGCTAGCCATTTCAGCCTACCTTGCCTACGCAAGGAGCAACTTCTAGCCTTTTTCTGGCTTTCGTGAAAAGAAACTGGGGTTCAAACTCCCACCCCAAAATATGCCAAACCAGCAAATGGGGTTCAAACCCTCACCATACCTGATGGATATGTCCATGCCGCATGTGTTTGACTGAGATTTCCATGCCGGTTGCTAAAACCCAACCGCTGTGACAGAAAGCTTTTTTGAAACGACCCGCCCCTGGAGTTAGACTCTATGAATCTCATGTGTCAGCCGGTCGGTGGGCGGCTTGCTGTAGCATGGATCGGGGGCAAGTAACATCCGGCCCGCGCCTTTGCGAAGTCACTCCAGTTCACCCAGATTGGAAGGGCCAAACAAGTTACTAACATTTGCCTCCCATCAAGGTCATAGTCAAAATTGCCGTTCTGATTGTGACTCATGAGGGAATTTGGCCTACTCCCACAGCATGGAATGTGGACCATTCCCCCTAGTCCGCTTTCAGCTTGCATGTGGATTCAGGTCCCGATTCTTACTTGAACCCCAACCAAAGGGGTTCCTCCCCAACTCCCCCAAAACGCCTGGCAGGTAGAAGTCCGCCAGCAGCTTCCGGGGATCGGACAAGTAGCCCTGCGCCTGCGACGAACAGAAGCCGCGAAGGGGCTGGCTTGCCAAAACGGGAACCCGAGGTGTCTGAGTCGAGAACAACAAAGGTTCTTGTTTACTTGGTCATATAAGGTCACTCCGGGAGAATACACCGGGGTTACAGCAAGTCAGCCGGCCAATTCCAACCGGTCGTGCAACTCCAATTCCGTGGCTGTCGCGAGTTTGCGTTCGTGCAACTCCAATTCCGTGGCTGTCACGAACTTGTGCTCGGCTTCTAATGGTAAGCTCATGTAAAACATCATGGGGCGATGTCACGCTCCCAGTTTTGGCTCAGCAAAAAGATGCTTGACCCATTGGCAAACAGTTGTGGCTGCACTTATATCAACATTAATTGTTCTGGTGGTGGCAACGAAATCCCAGGCATTTTGCCCAAGTAACCGCAAACCAACCCAGCGACACAGATTGGCAAAAGCTCCCCCCGCCTTCAGCTGGCTCATGGGTCCCAAATGTGCCTCGAAATCCGCACGCTGCAAAGTGAAGGTGTGGACATCGCTCACTGCAGAGATCCTCGGCAAAATCCAGATGGCAGATGGGCGGCTCGTTTTTTTCTTGTTTTCTCGAGTTGGTGCCCGCTTTGGGTTGGTGTTCAAAAGTTCTCAAGGCAAGCCAGAAGAAAAGCTTCTGGACACCCATTGAAACTACCCAACGACGGAGAACCCGCCAAAATAAATGGTTCCCTTTTGGTCCCCCCTTTACACCACCCCAAAACGGTGCTTGAAAACGACACACCAAAAAAAAACACCAAAAAAAGAAGGAGAAACAAACACGCCCACACCCCAAAAAAGAGGAAGCAAAAAAACGCACGCCCTCTTGAAGCCCCGCGCCGCCCGTTGTGTTCTTCTTCTCTTTCTCGTTGTGCCCGAGCTGCGTGGCGCCGCGGGGCGCGTGCTCCAGGAGCGCCTTCTCCCCGAAGATCTCCCCGGCGCTGTAGCGCATCACCTCCTGGCGCGTCCGGTGGCCGGACTTGGGGCGGGGCTTCGGCGCTTGGGCGGGTTTGGGGGTGCCGGCTGAGGAAAATGGCTGAAACACCTGCTGCCTGCGGGCCCTGGTTGAAATGGAACCCGTTTAGCAAGGGTTTGACTATTTTAGGTGCCCGAATCCGGAAATAGTGACATAGTCCAACAATTTGTCCGACCTAACATCACACGAGAAGGAAACTCACTTCACAAAAGGCCTCCAAAGGTGATGTTTAAACCTCCTTGTTTTAGGGGAAACTCAGGAACCCGAGTTTGGAAGGGTTGAGGGTGCTTCTTGTTTCGTCTGACATAGCCAATAGAAAATGCGGCCAGGCTCTTCTGATTTCTAGCATTTCCTCCTCTGGGTGCGTTCCTCCGCACTTTGAATTGAGTTGCAGGTGGATCCAGTGAAGGCCAAAAACAAAACGGTCGATTCGCGTGTCCGCCACTTGCTTTGTCCCCATATCTCACTCTCTGGATCCGGAGGGCATCGAAGGGCTCCTGTTGGTTTGGGGCGACCTTGAATGGCACCGGATCCCAAAAGAAGGGATCTGCGGCCAGGGTGGGCGCGGCATGGCGAGGCCAAGGCTGGCGGAAAAAGCGGCCTGGACGTCAAGTCACTGGAATAGCCCCAGAAAAGTCGCATTGTGTGTGTGCCCACCAAGATAATCCTCCAACAGAGAGAAGCCAAGCTTGTTCCGGAGCAAAGGGAACTATCCATCCCGTGTGGGCGGCGCCTGGCGAAGTCAAAAGCTCTGAGTCGCAAGCTATTTGGGAGCCAAATATGTGGGTAGGGTCCCGTTAAATATCAACAACTGGGTCCACCGTTTTGAGAAACCCTCGTATGACTTCACCTACAGAGAACCTCAGGACCAACCCACCGCCCTTGCATGTGCCCGCTCTCTATTTTTTTGTGGCCCAGACGGCACCCTTTCCTGAAGAACAGGTGGTGGAGGCGTGTCCAGTTCCAATATGAAGAAAGAAGCAAGAAACGGAGAACTCCAGGGCCGCCCCCAATCCATTTTTGTACGCGGGTGATAGGTGGTTACCAGCCAAAACTGCTTTAATTTTCACAAGCCACTACTGCCACCAGATCTCAAAGCTCCAACCCAGCAGCCACTTTGCGGTATGCTCAGGATTTTTGCGGGCTGCTTTGTACCAAAGCTCCAACCCGTTTTCTCAGCCGGTTGCACCTGTCGATGGGACCAAAGCGCGAAAAAGAGCGCGAAAGAGCGCCCGCCTGCTCCTGGCTAGAGAAGGATTTCTGGGTGGCCACGCACTCCTTGGCGGGTCCGTGGGCCCTTGGGCAAACTGGACACCCATCGCAAGGCCCCGGAGTCTCATGGCACAATCCCCTTCTCTGGCGGAATCGTTTTTGTTCACCAATTTGTTCTCAACATATGGACTCCTCCCAACTTTCCTTTGGTTTCCCTTTCACAGGGGTCCCAAAAAGGAGTTCCTGTTCACATCTTGCATTCCGGTGGCTTTCTTTTGACCCTGTAACTGCAGGCCACAAAAAGGGAGGGAGGGAAATTGAGACACCCCTCTTTCCTTCTCAAAATATGGGAACCCATCCATCCCAAAAAGCAGATGGCAGATGGCTCGTCGTTGGCTTCTTGAGCCAACCTGGCAACTGGGTTCCAAAAAATGTCCGAGGCGAGTGTCTCCCTGGTCCAGGAGGAAGAACTCCAAGCCAGGCTCTCCTTGTCTGATGATGGTGTCACCAGCCCTCGGGTCACATCACCTCTCTCAGCTTCCCTCGTGGTTTGGTGGTTTGGTGGTTTGGATTGGTGCTTTGGAGGTTAGGGGCGGTGTCCTAGTGGCCCTCTACAAAAATATGGGGCTCAAATGCAAATCGCTAAACCTCCAACCCAAACCAATGCAGGGCTACCCGACTCTCTGCTTTCTCCAGGAAAAAATCCACTAACAATCCAAATGAATCCCGGCTGTTTTGGGTGTCCGTGGTCCCTCGGTTTCGACAAATACCCACTTCTGGGGAAGCCACTTACCCAGTAAATCCCGTGGCAACCAGTAGACTTTCAGCTCACTTCTCTTCATCCCCGTGGAGTGGCCCACATGAAAACGACCCGGAGATCCGCACAGTCGTAACCAAGCTGCCAGGGTCAACCTCAAGTTGGCTGATATCCGCTCGGCGTTTATTTGCCTGACCCCATAAGACCAGGAACCGAGCCAAATAGAAAAAGAAACAAACCAGCACTGTCGAGGGGGTCGCTCGCTGGCCCCGTGTCATCGCTGGCCTGGCTGGCTCGCGGCTCGCGACTCGCGAGGCGCGGCTCAAGCGAGCCCTTCGCTCCAAGCGAGGCGCTTGTAGAACTGCTTGGTCAGCAGCGCGGCGATCTTCTGCACCTGCTCGTCCGTCATGGTCTCAAAGAGCTTGGCGCCCCGCACCAGGCTTTCCTGGCAGGTGGTGAGAACCAGGAAGCGAGCCGGGAGAACCAGGTGGAAACCAAAAGGTTGGAAACAACCGGCACATGTCTTTTTTGAAGCAGACTCTTGCCATAGTCCTCCCTTTTTTGGGGGGGGAGGGTGTGTGGGGGGGTTTGGAAAGCAAATGGAGGCCCCTCCTTTGACAAAAATGGGTGCGGGTCTTGGGTGGGTAGGGTCAAGCGGGAAAAAACATCCCTTTTGCATCCAGCTGCGGCCGATGTCTCTCACTAATGGGTCCTTGTTTGTGGTCTTCAAAGGGAAACCAAAAGGAACACCCACCCATTTTGGAATATCCCCTAAAAAATGACACACCAAAAATACCAATCGGAACATGAGTGACTGTTGGTGGAACTCCAGGCTCCCTACTCAATCGGCCGCATCAAAATTGTAGTGCATCCCCCTAGCACCACAAAGCCCAAGAAGACCGAGCAATATGGTCGATTCACCAAAGTACGTGTCAAAAGGGGGTGGAATTACTTGGTGGTGCTCCTTCTGCCCTCCAAACGATTCGACTCCCCCGCAAATACCAGCCAACTTTATAGTTTCAACCATGGTTTCATTGCGTGGTGCGAATGGATGTCGATTTCAACCATCCACAGTATCTTCAGAGAAACAAACTACCAAGGAAGCCCTTTAGAGCAGCTCGGAGCCTTATGGTACGTATTCTGGATGATGGCCACGAAGTCATCCCGGCTTAGCCTTGAGCGGCTGAAAAAGGTGCGAAATCTCCGTGGGTCCAGTGGGGTGGGGTGGGGTGGGGGTCCATGAAAGAGAACGTGTTGAAGAAGATCTCTCAAGATTACCTTCGCGAAGTGTGGCCCGTTGAACCATCATCTAGGATGGTTTCATGGACACCCGGAAAACCAGAATCCTTCAAAAAACGATGCCCTGAGAGAAGGTGGTTGCAAAATCGACTCTAAGTGTCCACCATACCCGGGGGGTCGGCTGCCTCTGGGGCGGCCATCTTGCTTTCTTCGTCGAGCTCTTTTTGTTTGTTAGGGGAAGCCCTCAAAACGCCTGCGTTTTTCGTTTGCTTTCCCTGAAAACCACCAAAAAAGGGGTATACCCTCAAAACCGGCCACACGAGTCAGACTCATCTTTGACCGAGTGCCAACCAACACAAAACGAAGCCAGCGCTGGCTAGGTCCTCCAGTAGAGAGGTTAGTATAAGGGTACCCGATTCTTTGCTGTAGCAGAACCCTCCCAACCAAAAAAAGATCAGTGAGAAAGGGCACAGGGGGACCCAGCTGGACTTCATGGCCCGGGGCCCCACGCCGGTAGCAGGCCACCTCCGACTCCGCCACCACCGTGGCGGCCCGGGGCTCGTCGCGGAGCAGCGCGATCTCCCCGAAGCTGTCCCCTGCCGCGGCGCGCGCGGCGCGCGCGACGGCGCGTGCGGCGCTTTTGGTCGGAAGTGGCGCGCGCGACTCGCTGACGTCTGGGAGAAGCACTTTAAGGGGCTGAAAGATGTGGCTCGGCAAATCAAAGGGAGACTCGGCAATCATATTCTTCAGGAATCCCATGCTCGGAGCTTCTCAGCTTTTGCGCACAAATTGAGATGTCCTGGTTCAGCCTTTAGTGCGCGAACCTACAAAGACGTGTGCAAGTACTAAAGAGCTCCTGGCATCGGGGCTTTCTGAAATGTGAAACTTGCAAGTGGAACGTCCGGCGTTTTGTTGCTCCGGAGCAGCCCTTTTGGCGCCTTTGCCACCAAGGAAAAAAACGCCCGGCCTGCATGATACTCGCGTACCTCCTTGGGGCCCTGCGCTTCCTGCACCTGAGCCAAGCGAAACGCGGAGTCCGGAGAAAAAATAAAATGGCAAGCAGCGCTAAAAAGAAAAAATAGTTGGACCAATGGCGGAATTTCATGGTTGCATTTTGGTTGAACATCAAACCAGGCAGTTTGTGGGTGCGTCACAACATTGAGGTTCAATTTGGGAGGTTTGAGCTCAAGCTGTTGCCCCTTTTTGACTGTAACCCTTTGAAAACAGGTTCCCTAATCCCAAACCCTGATCAAAAACAGAATACACCATGCCATCTACTACTCCAGTTGGTTCCTCGCCTTTAACAGGAAGGGTCGCAAATATTCTGAGTTTGCCCTTTCATTGAATATCTAGGAATATTCATGGCAGTAGGAACTTTTGCACTTCCATGCCCTTTTCTTGCCCCAAGAAGCCCTAGGAGACAAACCGGGATACCCGTTTTTGGGGTTGTGAAGGGAGGCCAAAAGGCCACCAACCCCCCCCCCTTTTTTGGCAGAAAATCCAATCCCTTTCGAACCCATCGCCTAGAACCTTGAAGAAAAGGCCAAGGTGCGTAGGCGCAGCAATGGCCATGCTCCACGATGAAGAATTCCAGGCCCTCCTGTGGGGAGCTGGGAGCTGTTGGCTGTTTCAAGACCACCAAAGAACCAACCATTGGGTTGGTACTCTTGGGCCGAAAGGAAACTACCATGGGCCGTAGCCGTCACCGTTTTGAGAAACGCCTGCGACAAACAAACCATAAAAAGCTGGCTTCCCAAATCTGCCATCCGTTGAACATTGGTCCAAAGCTTTGGAGCAGGCGAGATCCAAACTCCCAACCAGGGTCGGGCCAAGCCCCCGTTTAAACGGGTTTCAACACCCCGTCTTTAAACACCTCCTGTTGGTTTCCCTTTTTCGAAAGACCAAGGCCGAGGTGTTTCAATGAACACTCGAGTGACCCATCCCCCGAACACCCGGAATCCTCGCCCTGCTGGATGATGGTCTCTTGCGGGGCGAAGCGCACCAGCTTCAGCTGACACGCCACCTCGCGGAAACCGTCGGCCAAGTTTCCGCCATTTGCTTCTTCGAAGCCCCTGGAGAAACTAGGGATAATATGTCCTGTAGCGATAGATTCCCTTTAAAACTAATAGGGGAACATAATAAATAGTTTTAAGCAAATGGAAGAAATTACTACAAGTCCCAAACCGAAAATAAGCGAAACCAGGACCTTCATGGGGCCATTGAGCTCGCTTTACCCCCAAAACCTGTAAGCTCGGTATAAACTGCCCAGGCCAGGTGCGCAAAGTCCGCTTGAGCCGCCGGTGGGCTGGCAAGGCGGGGTCATAAAGCGACAGGTTTCTCAAACCTGATGGAGCAAACCTTGCGCTAAAACGTGCCTACGATGCAACAGCTTTATATCCCACCTGTTTGAAGGGGGTCCCCACCAATCAAGCGGGCTGATCGATTTAAAGCCCAACCCAGGACAATGTGCGTAGCATCTGAAAGGAACCCATTTCGGTATTTGTCACGAATAGGAGACACCCCTATGTTAGCGTGTTGTCCTAATGGTGTCCAAACCAACCAACCTAAAACGGGCATCATCGACAAAGAAACACAAAGCCACAAGTCATCCAAGCAACCTGATGGCCTGCAGGCCTTGGCGATATGACCAAATGACTGGGGCGTTCCCAAAGTACAGGGTGCCCACAAGGGGGCACCCCGCCAGGTTCATTGCAAACAGCAACCAAACGGACCCCCCCCAAAAAAAAAATGTAGAAAAGGCTTGTCCTAGGGGGTGGGGAGTAGATGGTTGCCTGTTCTGTTTTTTATTTCACTTTTCAACACGTGTTCTATCTTATTTGTTTTTTCAAGACTGTTTCTGGGGCCAAGAAATAACGATATGAATGTGGTAACGAATTGAGGATTTGGTCCCCTGTTTCGTTCCAGATTTCAACTTTTGGTTTTATTGATTGAAAGAGGTTAGGACTTTCTGTGGTTTCACGGGTTGGCTTTTGGGCGGTTGTTGCGGTTTGTTATTTAATGAAATGTTTATAGGTTAAAAGTTCGCTATAATTATAACATATAATATTTTACAAGTTATTATTATAGTGTGATTATAACTGCAGTTCCGGATAACTATGTAATTGATACATCTTACTTCTTTCGTACATCATTTTAAAAATAATGTTAATATCTCTCACTGTATTTTTAACATTAAACGTTTCACTTTCAATATATGATTTAATGTCTTCTTTTACATCAAACCCTCCCTTCTGCGATATACTAACATCTTTAATATGTTATCAATCATTTCATACTTTTTCTTACTGATTTTAAGAAATGCTTTAACATAATCATAAGGTGGTTTATCATACACAGTTAAAAATATCAAGATTTCATCTTCAACATTTGTTTTAAGAAACCTTTTATGGTTCAAATGACATTTGATTAATTCTTGATAAAACCTCCAATTTCTACAAATTTTACATAAACCTTCTTTGCCCAAAGAATAGTCAATAATATTATTTTTTTATTCCATTAGGTAAGTTCAGTTTGTATAATAATTCCATATGTTCTTTTTTGAAGTGGCAACAATCATAGCAGTTCGTATTCATATAACTGTTGATTTCATCATAGTTTATTTGTCTCTTAATATATATAATGTACTTTTTCTTTAAGTAGTTTTGAGCTAGGGGGGTTCAGGTTTAATTTAAATGTCTTAACCGTCTTTTTAAATTATAAAACTATGTTGTAATCATATTATAGTTATAGAATAATATGAATAAACCTATTTTCAATGTCTCCACTCTCCTATGTTGTTCCAAGAACTGCTTAAGATGTTTCTGATATTATACCAGATTAAGGTAACGTCATAATCTTTCATTGGTGCTCTTTGTTGTATTAAATAACGCAACACTGATATCAAAGTATAATAACTAAACTGCATTGCTGTCATTCCTCCTCTTTCATTAATACTATTACCATTATGTTTAACGAGTTCTTCTTTCATTATGTTTTCGTAAAACTCTTTTATCCATTGATGATTTTGTTCTCCATACTCGGCGAACATATCTAGAAATATATCTTCCATTGTCTTATCGTTTTTAATTATTTCAATGACTTGTTTATATGATGGATAGGGATTATCATTAATGAATCTCAATATTATCTTTCTATCCTGTTCCAGCTCTTTTTCTGTCACTCCTATCATTGGCATTTCACTTCTTAATATAATAAGTTAATGTTTCTATGTTGATAAAAATATTGTCTAACAAATAATATAATGGCAAGATTAACGAAAGACCAAATAATCAGCAACATCTATTATGACTTAGACGAGGGTTTCGGAAGCACACAAGCGACACACAAGAAGGCAAAGGAAGAAGACCCAACGATAACTTTAGAAGATGTAAAAACCTTCTTGAAGAAACAACCAAATAAACAAATCAAGAACTACAGAGGCACTAATTCCTATACCGCTCCGTTTGCTAGGTATCAGTATCAAATAGACATAATGCATATGTCACGTTTAGCTAAAGACAAGAACGTTCCACAGTATGCTTTAGTCGTGATTGACATCTTCAGTAAATTAGCAGATGTAATACCGATGGATGAAAGAGACGGAGAGCACGTTTTGAAGGTGCTTAGATCAAGTTTTAAAAAGATGGGTTATCCGATGCCTGTGTATTCTGATGATGATGGAGCGTTTGCAACCAAAAACCAAGCTCGGGATTTCTTCAACAGCGAGGGTATCAAACACCTAATAAACAAGGCACGCAAATGTAGCCGAACGTTTTATTAGGACGATGAAAAAACAAAATTCATGATAGAGCTAGGTTTAATAATATGAAATGGACCGATGCCTTAACACCAGCATTGAAACAGTATAACAGAACATTACACTCGTCAACAAGGATGACACCAACCGAAGCACACAAGGACGACAATGAAATAAATGTAAAGGTCAATCTGAAACTACGAGAAAAGAACAAAAGAAAGTATCCCAGAATACAGGAGAACGATAAGGTAAAAGTGTTTCAAAAGAACAGGGGCAATTACACCGACAGAAAAGAGTATAACTCTAAATGGTCTAATAAGATATTCAATCTTGATAAAATTGAATATGATGTTATGGGCATTCAAACTTACAGAGTAGCAGGAATAAACAAACCGCTTTTGAGACACGAAATGTTGTTAGTTAATGATTAAACATATTTCTTGGTATCTTCAATATACTTGACTTGGTAGAAATCCAGACTTGATTGTTTAGGCTCTTTAATAACTTGTTCATTAAGTTGTTTAATATAAACATTTCGTTTATTCTTGTATTCAGTGCTCTCTCTATCAACATCTTTTGGTTGATAATTATTAGTATTATTGTAAGCTGGTTTCTTCATACTTTCTAACAGTTGATAAATGTGTTGTTTTTGTTCCATTATTTCATCAATTTTCAAAATTAGTTTATCCACACCTTCCATATACTATATTATAAAACTAAACGTTTAAAACAACATGTTTAAATTATGTTAAATCTACTCTTTAAATTCTAATTTTTCATCATTTGTTTAATAGTTTCCTGCGTTTCGTTATCACCATTTTCCGAGAGTGTTGCATCCTTACCCCATTTAAGAGTTATATTATGAACATCTGTTTCTAAGTTGATACTGTCTTTAGTTTTATCAATATTCATTTTCTTATCATTTTTAGTAATTTTGAAACTTGTTGGAATACACGAGCATTTACAATTTCCTTTCTTTTGTATGTCTAATTCATTTTTCATTTCTATCATGTTTTTACACATTGGACAAGATAACTCAACAACTGATGTTTCTTTAACAATTTCTTCTTTTTCTTCATCAGTTGAAGAAACACTTAAGCCTGTCTTATTCTTTTTGTTTTTCTTTTCCCATTTATATTAATATTTACATTTTTATTTTGGATATATTGTATCACAAGCTTAAATAATTCTAATGAATAATAACAACATGTTTTTATTTCTATTATCAGTTATTACTACTTGCTCTATATTGTCTACTTCATCTATTATATCAACATAATCTGAATAACTTATATTCATATAAATAATAAGAAAAATATTCTAATTAATATTAATATTTCATGCATGGTAGAATATTCGGAGGGCACAGCAATGGGGTTTTCTTTACAATGCATCAAACTAATTAGCTTCAATGCTTATTGATTGAAGAAATGGAAAGCCTGTTTCATTATGTTACTCACCGCCACTCATAACATCAAGATGTTCCATTTAATATTAATTACAAGTAAACTTTTAAATATAATTTTCTATATATCTTTAATATCAATTATGACAAACGTTCCAATAATAAAACCAATAAACATAACTGATTATGAATTCAAACAATCCAAATATGAACATGTACCAAAACTACCTTTTCGCTCAATTGTTGTTGCTTCATCAACGGGTGGCAAAACAGTTTTAATCAAAAACCTCATATTAAATGTTTATAGGAACTGCTTCGCTCGTATATTCATTTTTAGCCCGTCAGTTCATAACGACCCTACCTTCGTTGAAGTCAAGAAATATCAAAAAGATAATATGAAGGTTGCTGATGAAAAAGAAAAGTTATATTATGACACCTACCAACCTGAAGAACTGGAAGAAATACTTAACACGCAAAGAAAGATAATTCGTTATATGAAAGAACAGAAGATGAAGAAACTACATTCAATTTTAATCATAGTTGATGATTTTGCAGACGACCCTAAATTTGTTAGATATAGTTCGTTATTGCATGGGTTGGCAACGAGAGGCAGGCACGATGCCATTAGTTTTTGTTTAAGCGTTCAAACATACCGTGTCCTAGCACCAATCATTAGGTTGAATTCAAGTTCGTTGTATATCTTCAAGTTAAAGAATGTATCAGAGTTAATGTCATTCATTGAGGAAAACTCTGCCATTGTTGATAAAGAGCAACTGTTACATACGTATCATAAAGCAGTAGATGATAAGCCCTACTCCTTCTTTTATGTCAATATGAATTCTAAAGATGTTAATATGTTTTATGTTAGATTTGAGAAAGCATTTAAAATAAAATAAATATAATATTATAGAATGTTAAAATTGTTCAAGAAAGAATATATGAAGAACCAGTAAGGTTTTTCGGCGGTGACATACCAAAACAGATTGAAGAATACCGGAAGCAAAGACTACAACAATTAGTAGAGTGTGAAACTGGTGAAACTTTTTTAATGAAGGATGCTCCTGACCATGTTGCAAGTAATTGTCATATTACTTTTAAGGAAGAAGAAAGAATAAGGAAAGAATTAGAAGAACATATTCATATAGAAAATGATACTGATTGTGATAGTGATAGTGATAATTATAGTGATGGTGGTTCAACAAGAGTGCCAGATGATTAAAAAAAAAAAAACATAAGTAATATTAATAATACAATGCCATTGAAACTTTGTAAATGCAGTGGTTTTTACCGCAGAGGAGAATATAAATTTCATTGCAATTCTTGGATACACAAATTTTATAAAGTTTTGAAGCGACGACCAACAGACAATGAATTATTAAGATTTCAAAATCAATTTTGTAATGACGAAATTATTGAAGATTTTGAAACAAGTAGCACTGCTTCAACAACGATACCTAAAGATATAGTTTTAGATGATGATACAAATTAAAAATATTAATAACTCATATTAATAATTTAAATCAATGAAGCGTTGCAAAATTGTAAATTTGGTAATTTATATATTAGTTTGTCCGATTGTTGATTTTCTAATTGTTCTATTCTCGTTACGCATTCCTGAATAGATTTGATTATTAAAGTATCCGCTCTTGTTGTTTCATCTACTCTTAAATTCTTAATGTCTTCCATACTGTTATTTTCTTCGTTTTTACTTTGACCAATACCCATTATATATTATTATTTAGATTTGTCTTTTTTCAATTCCTTAATTTCTTTTTCAAGTTTATCTATCTTATCGCTCCACTCTAATACTGCCTTATGAACTAGCACGGGTAAAACTAAATAATTCAATCCTAAATACTCTTTATCTTTACATTCAATATTGTCAAACTCTTTCGGAATTGCTTTGAATACTTCATCTGCGATATATCCTATATGAGTTTGAGTTTTACCGCAATCATTTCTATCGTGTCTTTTAAACTTCTTAACTTTCATACAATTAGATTTGATATTGACTATGTCATATTTCAATCGTGAGTCACTTGAATCAACAAACGTTCCGTTAATGGTTACTGTCGTTGCTGTTAAATCTATATTAGTTCCTGTTGATGGTTCGAGTGTATTACATAACAACTTCTTCGTTCCTGCAACTGTTACATGTTCATTAAAAGTTGATGAAGCATTATTTGTAAAACTTCCAGTATGTACTGTTGTTCCAAATGTCTTATCAATAGATAATAAAACTGAAGAAGAAGTGGAGCTGTCTGCCACTCTAAACGCAGTGTTAGTTGTTCTGAATATTACATCAATTGTAGATAAATTAGTTCCATCGTAAAAAGTTGATATTTCACTCGTACCAAGCTTTATATCTGTTCCTGTTGTCATTGAAATATTATTCAAAAATGAAACTGCTGTTAAATCAAATGATTGAATGGTATTAGTTGCTAAATATGCATTTTGAACTGCTAAGTTAGTATCAACGGTTACTCATGTTCCACCATTAGGAGCTATATGATTACTTATTAATGCTCCATTAGTGTTAACATAAATATCATCAGCAAATAAATTACCCATAACATCAACAGTGCTTGTATTAAAAGTCCATCCAGTAGAAATATTAACAGCTCCAACGATGTTAGATTGAACGGCAGGGTCTCCACAAATGAACCTAATTGAAGAATTAGCGTCAGTATTTATCATATCAAAAGATGAAAAAGCACTAACATATCTGTATAATTCACAGTTTGTACCAACCAGTGACTGTAAAAGGTCTCGCTCTGCATTCACTACGACGTCCGTGACAGCAGTTGCCTCTGCTGGTGTGTCGTTGGCTGTTGTGCTCGAATACAGTTTTGTCCACAACCCGCCCAAGCTTTCTGCTGATGCCCTCTCAGATTGGCGCTTCAACTCGTTGAGCGCCTCACATGCATCTTGGCTGAGGTGGGCTGTGATGGTCGCTTCGGATTGCCGAAGCTGGCTTCCCGAAAGCCTCTCCCGCACAAACTTATCATAGTCATCTGCGGAAACCCGTTCTGGAATGCTGCTGGCGTCTGACCATTTGCCACCACCGCGCGGGCGCACTTTCGGCCACGGTAGCATGGCAAGACTTGAGACAAAGGTTGTGACTGTAAGTGGGATGCTTGGCAATGTCCAACAGCTAAGAGCATCTGCGCATCGAGTTCTGGAAAGCTCTTGGTAAATCGAAGTGGTGAAACTAATGCAGCCAAAGACATGATTCATGACTTGATCCATGAAGCTTCACATGGTTTGGCGGAACGTCCGAGCCAAGGGTCAAACTCTGAAGGGGCATAGCCGGTGCGAGAACTGATGAGATTGACCAAGCCTACAATGGTGCCCTGAGAATGAAGCCACCGCAACGGAAGCAACACATGCAGCGCAAAAATGAACAAAGAACAAGCCAAATGAGCCAAGCAATGCCTGAATTGTGCTGAAGCTTGTTGCAAAATCGTTTGGCCTCAAGACCCAGACCTTTAAACAACTTAAAGCCTGACCTCTTTCAATATGTCAAAACTGTTCAAAACATTGCCCCCAGCCCAACAATGAAACAGGGGGACAATTACCCAAATGACCACCTCTCACAAAACGATATTCCCCCTCCCCAAAAACAGCCAGAAAAAAACGAACAAGGTGGAACACAGATTGAACATGAACCTAAAAACCAGAACAGCCAACCCTCAACGGGCCACCCCCCGGCCCCAGCCTTTTTACCATTTTTTCCCCCTCCCCCATGTTCAGAGGAATGGCCTCAGACAGAGGAGAAAAAAACATGCGTGAGTACGGCCAAAATGACACAAAGAATCTTTCTGCCCGGCCTCGGCAATCTGGCTACTGTCCAGATTCCTTGGTTGCAGAACAGGGCGCTAGGAAAGCTGCTTTAACACAAAAACGCCCAAAACAAACCATCGCATAGGGGTTAACCATCATCGCCACAAACGCTTTCCAGAGGGCATTAGAAGCCGTCCCCATGTTTTACGCGCCGTGTGTCTGTGTGTGTGTGTTTTGTGTGTGTGTGTGTCCTCGTACAGAGAGTTTGGCAAGTGAGCCGCGATGAGAGCAAAGTGAAACCAACCAAGGGTGGTGGTCTCCCATTTTGACAGACAAACAACAGCGAGCACGGCTCCGCCGCAAAAACCCACACATGCAAAATAGGCAGCAAGCATGGTATCAAGCATGGTATTATCAAGCAGGGTATCCCCAGCACTCCCCCCGAACTTTTCCGGAACCCTATCCCCAGTCACTCCCAAGGCCCAAGGCCCTACAACCCCAACGACCCCAACGACCCCAACGACAAGGCTGCAGCATCGAGCGGCTTGAAGACGCTCTGCTCCTGTATCCGGTTCTGCCGGTGCAGCAGTTCCTCGCACTCGTTGTTGAGGTTCAGTGGCCGCCGGTTGCAGTCGCCTTGGAACCCTCAGGGCCCAACCATGGGCTGAGCGCCCCCGGCACTGGCGGGCACCCGCTTTGGGCCCAATTGGTGAGTGCGGTTTGGGTTTGCAGTTCAGATCACCTGGCTGGGAGGAAGTGGTTTTTTCCCTCGGGTCTCTGGAAAGTCTGGATGTGACATCCAGGTGATTGTCAAATGGTTGTGGTATGTGTTGCGGGTGCGGGTACCCCGCTTGGTTTGTTTTCAAGGGAAGCCAAAAAGACCACCCGCCCATTTTGGGGCCCAACCTGAAAAAAAGACAGACCACGGGACAAGGTCAAGCCAAAACCTTGAGGCTTCAGACGACAGCCCACACACACACACACAAAACGACGAATCCGCTGGCAATGATGTGCCGGGCCCATCGCTTGGTCAATTGACTTTCAGGCCCCAAAACTCACGCAACAACAAACCCGAAAGCCGGGCATGGTAGCGATCACTATATATATAGGAATGACGTGTCACAGGAGTCGACAAAAACACCAAACTAGTAATAGAGGCGGCCTCGATCCGTGGTGACTGCCGACTGCCCTGCCAGCTTCCCACGTTTTGGCTTTAGGTTTCCCTGAACCAGGCCAAACCTCCGGCGTCAACTGACGTCAGCCGAGCTGCAAGTACAAGAGTTGCCCATCCCAAATGCAGCAGGCAGTCAATTTGACGGACCGAGCTTGTGGCGTGAATTAACGCAAGAAGCGGGTGAACTCTTCTGGTCTACCGGTAGAAAAGCTTCTCGTGCTTGCTTCACACGGCGCCGCTCAGTCTCTGAACCTTGCCTCTCTGCCGCTGTTATTTGATATGTTGCTTTGCCCGAGTTCAGCTTCTGCCAGTTCAAGCCGAGCGAGCAAACGGAAAAGTTTCGTCAAGCGAGTCACGGTGCGGGCCCACAAAAAGCCCTTGGCAGCTGGGGCACAATTTAACAACCCCATCTTGCCAAATTACTTCAAATAAAATGGGCCTTCGCGGGTTATAATTTGTCCAGCAGTGGGATGTGCCAAGCGGCGAGACAAGCTCTGAAAAAGGTAGAGACGTTGGGGATGTCATTTTCGGATCGACCTGCCCCTCTCGAAGATTTTTGTCGTGAAAGCAAAGCCAACGTGCACATTTTGCTGGTTTTTTTCAAAAGCCACCCTTTTGACTTGCCTGATTGCTCCCCCTCAGGTCCAACAAAACCTGGCTGCACGTCAAAGCGAATGGGATCCCATTTTGGGGTCGGTGAATTCACCACCCAGTTTAGAACCTATTTTAGTGGTTAGATTGGGGATGTTCACTGGAGGTACGATTTGGATTTCGACCCATGGCCACCTCACTGCGCCGCGTTTGCTTTTTGCCTCAGCCTCCGCTCCGCGCGCTGTTGCAGCGACCCCAGCAGGCCGCACCTCGCGCAAGGGGCAGACGGCGTCTGCCCGCGGTGAGTCAGAGGACAAAGGAGGGGGGGGGGGTTTGGGGGTGGGGAGTGTGCTGGAAGCTGAGCCAACGATCAACTTCTGGCCAACTGATTCGACCTAGACCAGAGGCTGGCTGTCTAAACAAATTCCAGAACCTTTTTCTGTCCCCAATTCAGGCATGCGGCAAAATAGGGGGGAACCCCCAAACCGAGCCCAGATCATTTCTCGTCTCACTTTAAGCCAACCTAACAAATGGGTTGCCCTCAAAAAACGCGCAAGCCCACCTGCTGAACAAAAATCAAAGATTCTCTTACAACAACTTGTGCCCCTGGGGCCGCCGGCAGCCGGGGCTGAGGGCCTGCAAAGGGAGGCCGGGCTACGAAGAACCCCGGGTCCACGAAATCGCGAAGCGAAACAAGGGAAGAGGGAAAAAAACAAAGGAAAAAGGGCAAAACAAACAAGCACAAGGGGAACAAGCAGCCGCTGTGGCTGCTTCGAAACCTGGCATTTGCTGCGTTCATCCCGAAACGCGAAGCAAAATGTCAGAGGTCCAACATGTCAGAGGTCCCGACACGGAAAGAGGGTGGATGACTGGGAATGTGCGCAATATTCGATCGTCCCTGCAGTGTGGGAGAAGGGAAGCCAACCGGAAGAAGAAAAAAACCGCTCCGAGGTCCGGATTTCAAGACACCACTATTCAAGCCACATGGGCGTGTGGTAACAAGTCATCTTCCTCCAAATGTCTGGCATTTCTTTGGCTTCCCTTTGCACCATCCAAATGGATCTCTCATTTCTTTTGGCCTGCGTGCGACAACGCCTCCGCCGCGGCCGACTGAATCACCTCAGCCCAAACCGAACTCTTGGTTTCACCAGCATGGCTCCAATGGGGTGTGAGCGCTACGAACCAGCTATCAAAGGGGTCTACCCAGGTTTGGGAGAACGAAAGGAGTCCCACTTTGTTGGCTGAGGCTTTTTCCCCTTCATAGGGACAGTCAGTCTGCAACTGCAATGACACTGGCTGTCTGGTCAAGCTGCGAAAAATGCAAAGCGCGACCAAGCGCAGTGCCAGATTGGGCACCAGACCCTTGTCCACCATGTCCTAGCCAAAACACTGAGCATACGGCGCGTTCGTTTCGTAAACAAAACGTTTGGATGGGGGCAGTCTGAAACCAAATAGTTGGATAGGGTCCCCACATTTGACAAATCCACATGTTATCTAATTCCATCTCTTGCGGGATGGTCTCTGTGTGACGTGGCCAACTGGGTCCGTGGTGAAAAAGGGTTCAATTCAGGAATCCGAGATTAGCATGGCACACAGGGACCCAACGTTCAACCAGAAGCAAGGAGGAAGCGTGAACCATGCCCCCCCCCCCCAGATTACAGCCTGCCCAGAAACAGGATAGTAAGACAGATGGCTCACTGAACGACATGCGAACCAGGATCAAAAACATCAACGACGATTGCCGTGCAATTTGATACCCAAAGGAACCGCACATGGCCCGCCGCGTGGCAACCGGCGCCATCTCGCAATCTGCCACACATTGATGGGAGGAACAGCACTGACAAACACACTCTTGAACCCTTGCAATAAAGCATGGATATGTCTTAAAATAGGGGACCCCAGATTGGTGTTCCTCCGTTTCAAAACAGGAATACTCTCCCAAAAAAGACACACCCACATTGACCTTGAACTTGAACTACCTCCCCCAACAAATCATGTACATGCTTAGTTTTGGAGGAACAGCGAGGAGGTTCTCCCCAAAAGGACCGCCGCTTCAAGCGCGCACCGCGAACCAAAACCGTCCTGAAGAAGGTAGTCCGCGTTGCAGGATGGCTCTGACAAGGACACTGCGGTGTACCTGGCAAGACGCAAGTGGAATTGCCCGCTTTTCGTCAGCCGACCCAAAAAAACCATCTAGCAACGTCCCCAGGCAACGTGAGAGTAACCCCCCTTCAAACTGTCTTTGAATGGGGAAATAGGGCAACCCACGAAAAAACACCGCGTGTCCGTGTGGGTGCCCTTGAAACCAGGGCGAACCCCAAAACACACACACACACACACCAGTGATCCGCAGCACCAGTGGCACATGAGGGCATCCGGCGTCAGCAGGCGGAGCCTGCACACGAAGCACATGCGCGAGCGGATCGGGATGGCCTGGGTGTCCAAAACTGGGACGTTGCTGGGGAGACCAAAACGAAACCAGGGTATGGAGGGGTGGGAAGGAGTGGAAAGACTATGATGAAAAATCCTATCAAAGAACGATCCCCTTTGGATCTCTTAAAATTCGGGAACCACAATTGGGTTTCCCTGGTTTGCCCTGGCCAACCAAAAGCAGGTCCCCCTAAAAATCGAGGAGCCCACGATGTCTCAAGTCAGAAACTGGTCCCAATCTGACACTAAAGGGATGCTTCGATTGCATAAACACATCGTCTTTAGCGAGCACACGAGTCAGCCAACCTTCGGGCACTGAAGATTCATTGAGGCAGGATTCTGGGGCGGTCTAGCATCCGGAGGAAGGCAGCTACAAGGCTGCCAGTGACTAGGGATGGTAATGTCGTGCCATCGTGCCCATGGCCCGCTGCCGTCCTGCTTTCCCACCAACCACAACGAAGCACCAGAGGTGATGGCAATAGTTGATACGCTGTACACTACGTATCATCAGAGTGCTGCCACTATGGTCAACATGGAAGCTCCTGGAAGAGAAGTTGCATCTTTGAACTGCTAGCTCAAAAAAGAGTGTTCGGGCGGGGTGCAAGGGGCAGGCGGTTCAAGGAATGCGTAAGCTTATGAGTTCGTCTCCAAATGATAAAACCCCAAAATCGAGAGGGGGGTTTCTTTGGCTTCCTTTCAACCGAAACCACAAAAGGGGTAATTACCCTGAAAAGCAAACAAACTAACAAACAAACAAAAACAAAAAGCAGACGCGCGCGCGCGCGCAATCACAGAGGGGGCGTCCCACGAGTCCCAGGCAACTCCGCACCACGGCGCCACGGCGTTCCCAGCAAGGCCGGCGTGACTTGCGCCGCCACAAGCCCGCGCGCCTGCGAGGAGCGCGTGCGACGCGTGCGCCGCATTTCAATGCCTCGGGGGCCTTCAGGGATCTTTGGAAATCAACGCAGACTCAGTGATGCTCTCCGGATGTGAGCACTGTCCAACGCAAACCGCACGTCCTTGTTGCAAAATCGGGATCCGCCCTAAAAGTTGGACTTCGGTTTGGGATTCCCTCTGGCTAAGGGTTCCAGAGTACGTTCTTTGACAAAGTGGAATTGCCGTCCAATTTGTTGTCACTTTCAAGGGAAAACTCCCTTGGTGTCGCTGTGGCCCTAATGCCATACTGTGAACAACCATGTAAGTTATCAAGGATGCCACGTTTTAACTCACCAAGCAAATGAAAAAACCAACGGAAGAACTAGCCGCCGGCAATCCAGCCCAGCCAGCCCAGCCTGCCCAGCCAGCCCAGCCAGCCAGGAATTTGCCACTAAAAAACTGACAAAGAAAAAATGGCTCATAAACCAACTGACCAACCAACCGACCGTCCAACAGATCCCGCCATGACAGGGAACTTGAGCCAAGCCCTCTTCACGTCCAAGTTTTCCTTTGGACCTGCGAATAGGCTGCGGGTGGGGGGGGGGTGACCACATGTTGGCTGCTCCAAGAGCCCGTCGGCTTTGTCAGACTTAGCCGACGACGCAGATTGTGATTCGTTTTGGGTGTTCTGAGCAGATGCCCCAACAAATTCAATTTCAGGGTGACTGATCCTTCATCACTTAGGTACTCCGTGACAAAATGGGTGCAAAGGCAAGTCTCCAGAAGGAGTGACTATAACTCGCTCGTCACGATACCAAGGCCAGCGCAATCCCCCGCATGTGTCTACTAGGACAACTGCGCCCAACTGCGCCTTCTCTCGACTTCGGGCGGCCATCCAGCGGGGTGAATCTTTGCCTTAAGCAAAAAGTCGCCCGAAGTTCCCCGGCCTAAAAGAAAAGCAGAAGCGCAGCCTCCGCCAGTTTCGAAGTGTGAATCATGAAGGCCTCGGGCCGCAGCCCCGCTCCCCCTCTCCCCCCCCCCCCTCCCCCCCCCTCCCCCCCTCCCCCGCCCCTCGGCTCCTGCAGGGCTTCCTTCAGCAAGGACAGGCTCTGCCGCCACAGCCCCCCCGCCTAAGGGGCGCGGACGCGGAGTTGGGAGGCCCAAGCTTTCGACTTGAAACCCGAAGGCCATCCAAATGGGCGAAGCAGCTGAATGAGACATGGGGGACAAGTGAGCTGGGTGTGAATCTGAGGGCCCTTTCGCGGACATGAGAAATACAAAGGATTTGTGCACAACCGGTCCGGCGCTCCAGAACCGGATTGCTTAGCTTCAGGGCGACGAGCCTAGCGCGCCCCGTCCAATCTCCGTGTGCTGAGACCCTGCGAGCTGGTTCCACAGGAAGCCCAAAAGAACCACCACTGGGCGTCAAGCCGATCAGAAAATCGGCGAGGAATCCGGAAGCCGAGCTATTGGGGATGCCCCAAAGATTCCGGAAGAGTTTTCAGCGTTCCTTCGGCAAACATGTGGTCTGATTCGCTGAGTATTGACTCTGTGTATGTACGTGTTGAATATACATGCATATCATGGTTGCCCCCCACCTTTGGCTTGTAAGGGCAAACCGAGGAACGGCCGCGGTTTAGACACAAACAAGGAACAAGCAGCAACTGGTTACTGGTTGCAATTGCAGTGTCATCATAGCGCTAGTTTGCCTCACCTGCCGATGAGTCACCAGCTTGCGGCCCCTTTTTCCAACCAATGTCCACTTGTCACCCGAGGCCACGCTGCAAAACACCCTCCGCAAATCGATGGGGGCCTGCTCCGCCGTTACAATTCACTTCACATTCCGGCAAACAGGTCTGCCAGCCGAAGCTGACAAATACCTGCTGGAGTACGCTGACCATCAGCTCCCGGCTGCCTTTACAAGTCCGGAACCAGCGCTGGAGGACAGCCAGGAAGCCAAGAAGCCGCGGTTTCCAGCGGTCAAGAGATGCCGGGAGACGCTGAGCCGCGCTCACTGGGCGCCCATGAGTCAATGGAATTGGCCCTTGGCCCGTGTCTCAAACAAATCGATCTATGCCCCACCTGTCAGATCGATCTCCTGCTTGATTTCATGGCAGCTCTGGCCACGCTGCAGAGGATCAATCTCTTCAATCCTTGACAAGTCTGAGAATTAGTTCTGCCAGTTCAGGTGTCGGGGTATCTGGAGGAAGGAGACCGCAATTTGATAAACCTCCAGGAGAAGCAACACCTAAAGCCGGCCTCTCGCAGATCACAGCTGGCTTTAAGCTCCTCCTAGGTTGTTCATGACCTGAAGGCACAAGTGGACTGGACAAGGAAGCAGTGTCAACTACACTGCCTCAGTGGCGGTTCGCGCACTCCATGCGCTTTCACCGAGCCTTCACACGTTTGCGCATTTCGGACTCAAGTGAGAAGCCGCCAGTACGCCGAAAGTAAAGCGCCGCAAGGCTGTGGACTCTTGGCCCAATCCCGACAACCAAAGCGCCACTGAGGTTCACATTGGAGACATCCGCTGCAATGCCAAGCATTTCAAATAAACAAACATACCTGTCAGTATCACTACAGGAGGATCGACATCCTGTTGTAAACAGTCGACATCCTGTAAACAACCTGCTTGGACAGCCTTGCAGCCGAACGATCACTTTGTCAGAAACGACTAAGAAAAAAACAAAAAGAGAACCCCGAGCCGCGGGATTCTGCGTCCACGAAACCCCGCCAGCCCTCCGCAGAAAAAAACGCGCCGCCCGCGGCTTGGCCGCGTGGGCGCCTTGCGGAGACTCCGCGGAAGCTCAGCCTCGGCAGCACGCCCCCGAAGTCGGCTGTGACGGTGTGGTTCGCTACTGGGGTGGTCGGCCAAGCTAGTAAGTGCTCAGCAACTAAAGTCATAACTCGCTTCTTAAGTCTCAAGTGGAGTCAACCTTGTTGGTGGGTTGCAACCCAGGCGGCTAACCACTTACCAACTTGGCGAATCGAACATGCAAAGAATCCTCAGGCTCAACAGCAGATCGTTGCACATGTCGTCATACGAGTATGTAGTGGCTGTGGGTCAAAACTAGGTACCCCAAATGGGTTGCCCTGGTAAGTGGAAACATGGATCAAAACTAGCGGTCCAATTCCTGGTGGTTTAATCTTGACCCATACCCTAGCATGCATTTGCATACCCACATACCTGTCTACATATACGGTGTTCACATACATACGCGTGTTAGGTAGTCAGTTGTCAATCTATTTATGGAGGACCCATTTTCATCCATACAGAAAAGTTCCTTGATAAGTTCATGCTTGGTCATCTTCAAAAACCATGAAAGAGCAGAAGTGCCCAAAGCAGTGCATGCTTGCTCTTTCAGATATTCAATCTTGCCAACTGCTCGGCAACATGGATACGAATCTATGAATTCAAATCATTTTATTCATGTCCGCCAACAAGTGTAGCGTGTTCCCCATTGAAAAATACGCAGCCATATGAACGTCGGCAGTTTCTTTTGCCCCTTTAACCAGGCATTTCGCCTTCCCCAGCACGCACAGCGCCCCCATGGCCCACAAAGACCGGTGGCTCTACCCCCCATTTCGGCTGCCTACGAAGAAAAAGAACGGAGAAGTAAGTGTTCCCTCCAAAACAACTTTCTTTGGGCCTTCCTATTTACATCCTTTTTACACGTACATTTCTGGTCGCTCCTTTTCCCGGTTTGCATCCTTATTTTGGGGACACGCCCCAAGCACACAAAATCACAGAAAGGACTCACGCCTCCGAGTCCCAGCGGCGATCACATCTCGGCCACGGTGCTGTCCTCGCCTGGCCAATCGCCATGGGAATGAGCCAAGCGGTGAGTGTTCAAATGGGGGTTGTTCAAAATAAAAGTTCTCGGGAACGGCCCTTTCGCCGGCCTTTCGCAGGCCTTTCGCGGCCCCATGATTTCCTTTCGCGGTGACAAAACACGAGCCACTCCAGCGACTTGAGACAAAAGCTGTCTACTCTGTTGAGCCGCTTGAAGACGAACTGCTGGAAGTATCAGTATCATCGTTGGCAACCTGCTTCATGTGGTTCCATTTCTCTCGCCTCTGCAAAAGTTTGTCGGCCTGTTTCCTGGATGTGTGCTCCCACGAGGCTTCCAAGTCTGGAGCTCGAATGTCTCTACGTTTGTGCTCGTCCAGCCGCCTCATCATTGCGTCATCTTGCCCACGCTTCGGAGCTTGCCTGTCCCAGCGGCGGTTGGAAAACACCCGCGGCGCCAATCAGTGTCTTCGACTGTCGCCCACTCGACCTTCGGGAACGTGCGCGCGCCAGTCTCTGCGGCCACTTCATCAAAGGTGTGGTCTTCTATGGCAGTGGAGCGGCATTTCAGTCGGGGAAAATGGCAGAGCCTTTTCTTCTGGCAGTGTCTGCACCTTCATTCGGCAACCACATGCAAATGAGTCTCTGGTGGACAGTGGTGCGCCTACATTCAGGACCAAGAAACATTAGGCAACATCTGGGGGACCACTGCGAAGTCGCTTCGCAGCTTCGGCAGTTACTAGCTCAGCCAACCTCTTGCTATCTTTCTCTGCACGCTTGTCTGCCTGCCGCCGCTTATCTTCATGCAGCTGCTGAGCGGCGCTGGCAATCTCCTGGTGCTGCTCTGGCGTCAGCTCCATGTAACGGCGGCAGTCTTTGCGCCTCATCAACCGCTCGCAGATGTTTCTCAGATGCCAGTGACTTGTGCTGCTTGGAATAAGCATTCGGGTTGATTTTGGCTTAGAAGCACAAAAAACAAAAACAACTTCCATTCAAAAATTGCCAAGCTTCCCTCTGAACATGCTGTCTGAAGGAGTGGCCTTTGGGTGGGAGCACACCTGGCACTCGCTGAACTGCTTGCGGCGTGGGCCAGTTCCGTCTTCCGCGCACTCTCTCCTGGCTGATGGCCATGCTGACCTTTTCGGCGTGACCACATTTGGCTCCTTGATAGCTCCTTTGTTTGGCGGCGACTGGGCATCCTGCTGAAGCACCACTTCATCACGGGCAGGAGGCGCGTTGACAACCTCTTCCTCCTGGGCGTTCTGCTCCAATGGCTCAAACTTCAAGATGGTAACTCCTTTTTTGTCAACTCACTGGCCCCGCGAGTCGCCCAAGACCATGCTACTTCACCGTGACCGTCTTGCACCAAAAAGCCTCTATGGTGACTGGCGTAATCGCAGCGCAGCTGCAGCCCGTGCGCTGAGCTGCTGCGCCGCAGCCTCGAACTCCGCATGAGTTCGGGGGCGCAGGCACCATGACGAATGAAGTGCTTGGGCGCTAGTAGCTGCTACAAGTCCAGAATGGAGGCCAGGTGCTATGTTTAACGCCCACAAACGTACACACACACAGACACCTACCACCTACCGCCTACCACTTAACACCAGAAATGTTTGCCACCAACATCACGAAAAACAAATAACACATCACACATTTGTTGTCCGTATTCGCCTCCGTATTCGTTATCTGTCAAGTCCTTTCGCGTTCCTTACGCCGGCCTTTCGCGGCCCCATGTTTTCCTTTCGCGCTAGACCTTCAGAACCTCCCTTACTTATTTTTAAGACTGGCAATTTAGAACGACTCCCAAATGAAAACAACGCGATAGATGTCTGACAAGAAACTGTTGGACAAGAATTGTGGGGTCCATGACATGTATAAATCGCGTCTCTCTTGCAGATAGGCATAGCCAGGCATGACTGCCTTTTGCGGTCGGTCTTGCAAAGGGTAGAACCATCCCTTGTAGAACAAAAACCAAACCACTGTAGTTAAACAGGCAACCAGGTGTACTGAGCCCTCATTCAGCCACCAAAGGGCGGAAACAAAAAAACACTAAAAGTTGATCCCCCACTCTTTGCGCTCGTTCTTCTGAGACACCGCTCGAAGCCTGGAAAGAAAGGACGCGGATCAGATCTGGGAGCGCTCGAATCGGAAACCGCGCCTGCCACCTTGAGCTCCGCCTCCTCCTTGCCCTCCTGCGCATCCTGAATCCTCCACTGCTCCACCATCTTCGCCAGCTGCTTCTTGGCGCGCCAGATCAGCAGGGACACCTGGCGGCGGTTCTTCGTTTCTTTGGGGGAACCTCGTTTTGAGGCTGGTTTAAAGGGAAAGCAAAAAGCATTCAAAGGGCTATTTTGACACATCATCACCTGTGTCCAGGAGACAGCAATTTTTGGGCTTGAGCCATGTAACCACTCAAAACAGGAAAACGTGACGTCCATGTTCCCAAACCACCCAACCTGGCTCGAAGTACCTTGTGGGGATTCGCTTTCACCCACCTGTACGGTCTTCTGGGCAAAAAGGGGACTAAGAGCCATGCAGGTTCTCACCACGACGGTGTTTGACTTCAAAGGTTGCACAACCAACTTGTAGTTTAACGCGATGCACCCACATGCACATTACATGTACATCTATATGTATATATCTATAATATACATGCAAATGTACAAAACATGCGCGCACATATATATATATATGTAGATATACACAAAAGCATACGCGTGTACGTATATGTATACGAACACATACACATACACATATACATATACATATACACATACATATACATATACATATACATATACATATACACATACATATGCGCATACATGTTCATATGCATATACGAATACGTATGTACGCGCTTCTGCATATGAGTAATATGCAACATCCTACATATATGTGTATATATATAAGACAATTGGAGCAGCCAACTGCGCCCCCACGGAAAAAGGTGCAAGCAGGCAACGCGGTCTTTTACTAGCTGAGAACTTGGGATTGTCACTGCTGCAACGACCTGCGGCTGTCAGTTTGCGCGCTTGCTCTGTTGCAACTGCCCAAGCGAAGTGGTGGGGTCCCAAGGTCAGCCCACAACCACTTCGACCCAAGTTTACCCTGATGGGTTCAGTGAGCCGCGTGGCGCTCCCTTGGACCTGTCTTCTCAAGGACATGCAAGCCACTCATCCAACCAATGTCATGGTGAGTTCCGCTCGCATGCACGCGAGCGCCTAAAAATGCCTCTGTCTGACTGCGTGATGCTCAAGGCCGGGTGGCGGCCCGGATCAGGATCAGATTTTGGTCTCAGCCGCATAGCGGTCCGAGCCATTCTGTTAGATGATGTCTGATCAGTCTCGGCCGCATTGCGGTCCGAGCCAGAGATTTCTCGGCCGCGCGGCGGTCCAAGCCGCTTCGTTAGACGATCGGTCGGTCTCGGCCGCACTGCGGTCCGTGGTGCCATGCTCTTCAAACAACATGGCCTGCCCTCTTTGAACCAGCGGCTGCAGGATATGGTGCCATGCCAAGGTGCACATTCAGGCTCTCAAGCTTCAGCTCTCCTAAGCCGGCCCCTCCTACCAAGGTAGGAGAGCATCATATATTAATATAGGTGTATCTTATGTATATATGTATATGTATGAATAGTCCACCCAAAAGCCAGGAGAGAGCAGAGCGACCACCACCACGGCCAGGATCCAGTAGATGAAGTACGCGAAGATCTCCACTGGGGTGGCCTGGAAACGGTAAGGCGAGGCTTTGATCGGCGGTTCAAGCAGTTTTGGAAGCGGACAGGGCTCAAGGTGACACTAAGAAGAATGTTGGAAGAGCACAAGTGTAAAGTGGCTGGAACTGAGCAAGCTGGGGTGGCAAAAACTTTAAACTGCAATGTTCCTCGGACCTTGGTGCTGCCTACCTCTACGGGAAAAAGAACAATAACTCCAAATCCCAACCTCGGATAAGCCGCTGGCTCGTTCGATACTATTCGGTCACGTGGGATCAAGGACATATGGCATGGTCCGCCAAAATGACCTCACCTCCAACCATGACAACGTGAAGTCAAACAGGCCCTGCTTGTATATGCACAAGGTAGTAAAAATAGGGTCTATCTTTCTAGGGTACCTTTCTGGAGGTTGTTTTACTCAAAAACCAAGAGGGGAAACTGGTAAGGTGCTACCCCCAGGGACAAACAAACCATAAAACCCTATGTCTCCTCTTGACTTTACAAATCAAATTTCCTCTTGGCTTGCTCTACAAAAAGGCACGTCCCGGAATGGAGTACGCTCATTTTTGCTCCATGCCATGTGGGTGTGGGTCAAAAATATGTACCCAAAATGGAACCCTGGTAAGTGGAAACATGGACCCAAAACCTGCGATCCCCTGGTTGTTTAATTTTGATCCATCTCCATTTTGGCATACAAATCAGGTGGCATTCCCTAGCAAGTCTTGCCACCAGCCGCCCAGGAAAGGGGTTTGATCCCCCACTCTGAGAGGACTCCCAACATGTGAGCCACGATCGAAACCCGGGTAGATGGTTTTGACCCACAGCCGTGTGTCGCTTCACTCCCCTTCGCCGCCTGATCCTGCCAGCCGAAGAGCGCGCGCATCAGCACGAAGAAGCGGTTGGTCTTGTCCTTTCTCGCCGAGCCGGGGTTTTTGGCGGAGGCGCGGTTTGTTTCGAGTTGCCTTCAGTACCAACCGTTTTTTCAGGTTGGTGTCCTTTCAAACAGGACGAACATTCTTGGGTGCCTATGATAACTATGTTCAGAGGTGAGGGTGCCGAAGATGTGGAATCCCACTGTCAGGGTTTTGAAGGCCAACCTGGGGGAAAATAAATCAGAAGGGCCTGTGTGTTGACACCCAGTCCAAGAGGAAAATGGGTTGGGCAACAGGTTGGCCGCAAGAAGATTGAATTGCCTGATGTGGATGATTTGATATGAAGCAGCTAAAACTTGATAAGGTTACCAACAGGATGTTTGCCAACCGCCAACTGGAGTGGTTGAGCAGCTTAGAACCATTGCTATTGTTATACGTATATATATATATATATACATATATCGCATGCGTCAAAAGCTGACCAGAATCAGCAAACATCGAGCACGCTGGGGCCCCGTTTTTTCGAAGGCAAAGGTAGCAAGAGATCCACCTGCCGTCCACAATACCAGCGAAACACCGGCGGGATTACAAGAAACGGAATCTGTCTCAACGGTGGCCTGATTGAAAGTTCTTGACACCTAAAACAAGGAATCCCCGAGTGGTGGTTTGTGGTCAATCTGATTTGCCCGCAACCCATCTTTCAAGGGCCAGCGGCGTTTAGGAAGAGGTTTCGGGTGTTTTGTTGTTGGTCCCTAGTTTGAATGCAAGGGACTCTCAACATTGCTTCTAGGGGTAGCCGCCTTGAAACCACAAATTAGACAGTAGGCTTGAGGATGCCAATCGTTGCTTTTTTCCTCATGAGACAAGCCCAAATGGTCAGGTGACCCAGGTTGGTGGTTTGGATTGGTTTGGATTGGTTTGGATTGGTTTGGAAATTTGCACCCTTGTTTTGGTCGAGGGCAAATGGGACACCAGCCGTTGAAGACCACCAGACCACCTGGCTCCAAACCACCAAGTAGAGCCGAAGATGTTCCTGCTTTGAGGGCCCGCCAAAAGCCCACCCGCACTCTTCCAGCCAAGGGGACCTTAAAAGGGAAATCAAAAAAACCCGGCCCGAGACTTCCTCCAGTTTTTGGCACTCTTGCATCAGCAAACCCCCCGAAAAAGGAACCACCCAACTCCAGCCTCAGGCTGGAACCAAAAAACCAAACCCCGAAACCGCGAAAGTGTCGGCCCGTATCTATCAAGGCCTTGCTGCATGATAGCTCTGCCCATTGGACACCCCTTTCACTTGCTCGTTTGTGATTCAGGTCTTCCCCCTGCGAAGCCACCACGAAACCCCGAATTCGCCCATCAACTGCGCCTCGTCCATCCCTTCAAAAACCGAGCGCTCGCCGGTCACTGCGGTTTCTCAATTCCGACGAGCTGCGTTGCAGCAATCCGTGGCGTCCCAAACCTTTTGGTTCTGCCAGGGCCGCTCAGCCCTGGGACTCCAAATCCCAAAGGCGTCCAGCTCCTCCGACATGTTTGGACCCAGCGGATAGAGGGAGGGGCGCTTGGTGAGTAAAATCCCTTGTCATTCTTTGGTTTAGAGGCAAAAACAAAAGCAAAACCTCGAGCTTGTTTTTAGGCACATGCCCAAATGCTGTCTACAGAAATGGGATGCTTTAGGCGTACTACACACATGATTGTCCTTTGGCGCAAGCTGGAATGAGTAAAAACGAACCCGTTTAGAGTCCCCTGACGCGTGAGCTTAAAAACCCACGGCTCCGCTCCCAGCCGCTTTGGCTTGTGCCCTCTTCAAGCCGTTGGCAGCAGATTCTACCGAGACGGGTATCTTTCAAGGAGGGCGTGGCTGTCTCTCGATTTCGGGGGACCCCCGAAATTGCGGCGGTCCACGTTGTCCTTCACAACCAGCCCAGAAAGTATACACGCCGAAAAAAAAAAACACGACACGCCCAGAGAAGGCCCCCGGATCATCCCTCCAAGCCACGGCGCACAAGGGTTTCGCCCGCTTGAGCACTTGAGGGAAACCAACATGGAACTAACAATTTTCGTTTCGCGGGCTGTATGGTGTCGGCATGCCCATTTTTAAGAGGCTTACGGGGAAGGGGAGCCCGTAAACTCACAACATTGCCTTCAGGGGCTACCCCTTCCCCTATTCGCAACCCGAATCTTTCATCAGCAGCTCCTGCAGCACGTGCATGGAGGAAGCGAAGAACCCCGCAGCAATGAAGAGCAGCAAAATGGCGGAGAGGCGCATGAACCAGTCCACCCGCATGTTCTTGGTTCCTATCATTCAACTCGAGAGAGTCGCTAAAGAAAGTGTGTCAAAAACAGTCTGGTAGACTGTACTTGAAGGGGCAGGGCACTTAGCAAGTGGCTAACAACCAAGGCTGTAACCTACTTAGGAGACTTACAACCATCACATTGTGGGTTCTAACCATGGTCGTTACCACTTACTAAGTACCCGATCGCCCCTTTGAGCAGCTGTGAGCAACTGTCGGTGAAGGCTCAAGTCAAGGGCAAGTCCTTAGGGACTTGGATGACTAAATTGGGAACGTGGCTTGGAGGTTTGAAGGAAGCTTCCCTTCAGTTCTTGGAACCAATAGAAATGATCCAGTCTAACCAGTGTGTGTGTGTGGGTGTCTGCGTTGTTTTCGTTTTTTGGGACGAAGGCTGCAAGACTGTCGAGGAAGAAATTCGTGCGCCAGGCGTCTGGGCATGTATTGATGTCGTGGGAGGCAAGCATCTTGAGAAGGACGAGACAAAGGAACCCTCCCCGCGCTCCATAACCAGGAGATTGAACCCCATTTGGAAGGCATCTGCCAAAACTTTCAAATGCACCCGCCTGTCCATGGTAAGCATCCCAGTTATGCGCAGTTGTTACTGTGTTCGTGTCCAACATGTCTATTGTTACTCCCAGGTGTGCTCACGGCAAAATATGTCCATCAAATATCCGCACTTTCCGCCGCATCCCTGCAAGCTCTCCGGTATCCAGTGACCATGACAAAATCGAGGCAACCTTATGTGCTGTTCATTTGCAGTGCGCAACGAACATGCAAAAGGCGAATGCAAACCAGGCCAGTCCAATCCTCGCTCGTTGCCATATCACCCCAGCCCCGTGAATCCGAGTGTGCGAGAACTGATGAAAAACCGCCCCCTCTCACCCCCTCTCGCTCGCGGCTTCGCCTTGGAAGAAGCAGCAGCCCACCAAGCGCGACAGCACCAGAGCAGAGATCAAGGGCAAAGGCAGGCTGCTGAGGTCCTTGAGGTCGGACACCACCCCCACCAGGAACACAATGGACTCCAGGCCCTGCGCTCGAGAGGAACTCGAGAGGAACCGCTCCTCTCGACTCTCGTCAACATATGGATCCAGGTCGTTGGGGGAAGCCTCCCTTAGAAAAGCAAAAGCGAGTGCGGTTGAAAAGGGAAACCCAAACAGAAACACCCAAGATGGCAAGGTGGCAACGCCCATGCCTGCGAATAAAAACAAGAAAAGCGGGGCTCGCATCCCACAGAAAGGATGTCAGAAGACACTGAGAGAGAGAAGGCGGTTTGCGCATGTCCTGGGAGGGTGGTCGGCCCATCCCTTCTCGGTGGAGACGGGAAAGAGACATACATGCGTATCTCTATATATATATATATACACATGTACACATAGAGAGATAAAGAGAAGGAAAAGGAAAAAGAGATAGACATTTCCTCCCAACTCTTGGGGAATGCTTCACCATCTTCACCCAACTAAAAGTGGGTCCTTCCTAAACCTCCAGGCGAACAAAAGCAGAGGAAAAAGGATTGGCAACCCACCTTCCGGGTCCTGAGTCCTTCCACGTTGGAGTCCCCCCCCCCCCCCGCCCAACCCCCCAACCGCAACCCGCCCCCAACCCCCCCCCGCCCGTCCCACCGACAACGCCTCCCGGAGCCCAGTGGTGAAGGCCAGCACGAAAAAGGCGTGCTTCCGCCCGAACTGCACCTCTTGCCCGCCTTCCGCCTCACGAGAAGCCTGCCGGGCGACATCGAGCCGAGATCAAGGCACCGAGACTGTCACGAGGGAGACTGTCTGCCGGGCTGCCAATGAGCCATCAAAACCGAAGGTTGGTTTACATCAGTTAGAGGTTCGGAGATTCGCCGAGCCAATCTTTACATGGCTGACACCCATGTCAATGCCAGGTTTTCGGTGACTCGGATTGCCTGGGCCTCCGAAACCCCCGACCAATTCCGAAGGCCTGCAGCGTCTCCTCCATCTTCTTCTTCATCTTCCGCTCGTGCGCCTGCAGGACGGGTCCCTGTGCTTGTTGCACCAGGGCCAGGGTGACATGGCTGTCAGGGTCGAACATGGGAACCCAAAATAGAACACTGGTAAATGGAACCAAGGACTAAAACCTGCGGTCCCCATGATGAGTTAATTGTGACCCATATCCACATCTGAAAAGCTCCGGTAGATGGCACAAACTCCCTAAAATTGGGCGATTACAGGGGGATGACTACACGTAAATGCAGGAAGTGAACCTTGCACCATCTTTCACTCGACCGTACCCTCGCAGTAACCAAGGGTTTCCAAACCAAAGAGAAAATCCTGGTAACCTACTGGGAGCCAGCAGCGACAGCGCTGCTTTGGGATAGTCCCACGCTGATTCTAGATCGCGACTCGCCGCCATTCAGATACAAATGGGGAAATGCGAATAACTGGAAGCCATTCAAAATGGCTTCCTCTCAAATGAAATTGAGGGATCTGCGACGTCCATGTTCTTTTTGACTCCATGAGGCACGCTTTGCTTCTGCCTCTTTGGAGCTCTGAGCCGGGTTTGTGACAGAACACCCCGCGCTTTTGATCCCAGGCCGGCGACGGGATCCCGAGCAAACCTGGACACGCAGAACGAGAGAAGGGACAAAGCCAAGCGCAGCCTATCCCCTCCCCCCCCCCCCAAAAAAAAAAAAGAGAGGTTAAAAAAAACATCACGACGGTTCGCATTTTCCGATGGGATCACCTGCATTCACACACCGAAGCTCGCGAAGGGAAAATTGGACAGGGGGCTCGCAGGCCAATCCCCCCAACATGACTGGCTTTCTTTGCTCTTTGAACATCAGGGGGCCCGGGAATACCAACCACAAAAAACACAAAAACAGCCGTGCCGCTTTCCGGTCGGAAGTCGCCACAGGCACGATTGGAACCGGGCATGAATCTCTGCTTCAGGGCCGATTTGCCGGGCAAATTGGCTCAAAATCCGGAGCGGGTACCGCAGGTTTTGGCCCTTGTGCACATTTACCAGGCTTCGATTTACCTTGTTTTGACCCACAGCCATTGCCTGCCAATCATTTTTGAGGCCCACGTGTGGATCACACGCTCCGGCTTCTAATCGTGCACCAACTCATTAGTTCTTTTATGTTCCTTTAGACCGACGGGGCCCCCAGCTGCACCAGTACTGAAGGGGGGGAAGAAAAGAAAAAGAACAAAAACGGCCGTGCCTCCTTGGTGTAGATCATCTTGTAGAAGTTCACCGCCAGGAAGGTGAGCACCAGGCAGGTGATCATCATCATGCCTCGTCTTTCTCCAAAACCCCATAAAAGTCACAATCAAAACCCGGTACCAAAAATGGGCCGCCCGGAAGCATGTCAAGAGCTAAGATCCCTTAGCTGACCTTCACTTTCCCGGGTTTTGAGTAGGGCTCATGGGCAAGTAGGGCTCGATCCCCCCGAAATCTGCCGGACTCCCCCTGCCAAGACAATCGAAACATCGGAGCTTCAACTTGGCCTTCCTGAAACATGCCTTGGCCAAATGGGAAACCGGAGAACCAAGAGAAGACAGGGCGCTGGCGAAGCCTTCTTCAGCTTTGCGCTGCGGCTCTTTGCCGTCCAACGAACACCCCATCTCTGGGATATGGTCCATTATGTTGCAGATTGTGTCCACCATGTCAACGCCATGTGACAGATTCTGGTCACAGGTTGACCGAAATTTGTATTTGGCAGGACTTGCAAGGGGGTCAAAGGGGAAGGAACTACAGAAATTGCGGCATCACTCTGCGAACCTGTTGGAACCCATGATTTCGACCAAAATTCGTGGAGCTGACAGGTGAAACCAGCGTTTTTTTTCTGCCTTCCGACGGCTGCTAGCTTCGTGCGTTGTCAGATTCGCATAAGCCTGGAACCCAAAAAATACTGGGGCGCCGCACAGGCACAGGCACTGGGAATCTGTTCAGCTTTCGGTTTAAGGGGGCCCTGTTCCCTTCAAGTGTAGGAGTAACCAAGGAAGAAAATTTGAAAAAATCAGGCCGAAAGCTAGTTACATCATGGCCTGCCTGGGAGGCGCCACCTGCTAATCCATAACGGCTATATCGAAACTTCATTCTGCGCGTCCTAAAACACCGACCCCCGCCCCCAACAACAAAAAAAACGAAAAGCCGCCCTTTTTGTAGTCGCCTGCTTTGTCTCCCAAAAACCGACCTGGATCGCTCCCCCCCCCGGCCCTCAAAAAGAGAAAATCTCCGTCCCCCCAACCCAATAAAAAGGACCACATCTCTTGGGGCCGCCGCCCGGCTTTTTTTTTCAACTCAAGCCGGCGGGGGGCAGAACTCGAAGATCAGCTCGTTGTCCCCCTGGAAGAGTTGGAAGGTCAGGGACGCCAGGGCCAGGAACCCCACGCCGAAGCAGAGGCAGATCAGGAAGCCCAGCCCCGCCCCGAAGTAGACCTCCCGCCGAAACTTGTAGAACTGCTTGTCCTCCATCAGCCCGTCCTGAATAACTTCAAAAGGAGCTCCGAGTCGTAGGCGCCCCGAAAACCAGATCGAGGGAAAGGGGTTCTTACATAGAACTTGCGAGGAGTCAAAAAATCCGGATCAGGCAAACCCAGTGTTCCTAAAATCCAAGTGAATGCCAATTATTCCCATGGGACCTGTGCAGACTACGACCCCTTTCCATGATTGCACCTTGACTTTTGACAAAGAGCTCCCGATTGGCTCAGGAATCCGTGTTAGTCCCCTGGTCCCGAGCGGAAAAAGAACGGCCCAACAACCGATTGCCAACGTGGGACATCGGACACCCGCGAGAATCCGGGAGCTTGGCATAGAACCCGAGAAGCAACATGTGCTACTTGTTTAGCATGTGCAATGGAACCCTAAATCATGGTGTTTCCGAAGCCTGGAGAGTCGGGAGAGGCGCCGGATCTGACAGTTGCAAGCTCCATGTCAAAACCATGTGCGGCCTTCGGCGGTTTGCGCAAGGCTCTGGAATTGAGCCAGGGGGGATTGCTTTGGAGTCTGCCAAGGATGGCACCATGCGGACGGCAAGCTCAGTAGGATCTGGCGCGTGCTTCCCAAACAAGGCGCTTCATGGCATGGTGGTTGTACACATCTCCAAGCAACCCGGTTGTTCGGTTTCTCTCATAGCCTCAAAGCCCGAAAAGAAACGCTGTAACGCAGAAACCCCAAGCGTGCTGTGAAACGAACCGTCCCACGCCTCCTGAGGAAGGCGAAAGCCACAACACACTCCCCAAGCCCCTGTGCGCTCTTCTCCTGGCGCATCTTGTACAAGAACTGCACGATAATGGAAAGCACCTGGCTCTTGCAGGTCATTCGTTAAACTCAAGCAAACAAACAAACAAACAAACAAACAAACAAACAGACAGACAGACAGACAGACAGACAGACAGACAGACAAACAAACAAACAAACAAACAAACACACAAACAAACAAACAACCAACCAACCAAACAAACAAACAAACAAACAAACAAACAAACAAACAAACAAACAAACAAACAAACAAACAAACAAACAAACAAACAAACAAACAAACAAACACACAAAACAAACAAACAAACAAACAAACAAACAAACAAACAAACAAACAAACAAACAAACAAACAAACACACACAAGACAACACAACACAACACAACACAACACAACACAACACAAACGAACCAAACAAACCAAACAAACAAACAAACGAACAAGCAAGCAAGCAAGCAAGCAAGCAAGCAAACAAACAAACACAGAACTGCTTCTCTTTTGAGTCATCCCCCAACGGTCACCAAAAAAATCGGACATTGCCCGGACGTCCCTTTGGGTAGTTCCTATAGGAAACCTCCTTGGCTCAGGGGAAACTAACAGGAACCATCGACACCCCGATTAAAAAAACAAATAAAATACTTGGTTGCTGTTGACCCCCCTGCAAAAAGTTTAACTTTTTTGGGGGGTTAGTGGAAAACCCCTTGATTTCCCAAAAAATAAAAGTCTAAAGATCTAACCCAGTAGCAGTCAAGAATAGAATGCAACCAGAAGTTGATGGATTTACTTCCCATCTTGCGGGTTCTCTGAACAATCACGCCAGGGCTTTCTGGAATAGGGAGCGCCATGCAGTACCTCAGGTGCTCGGGCTTCCTTCCTTCCCTCAGAAACGGCAAAGCCATTACCCGCGGCCCCCAAGGCTTCAACTCCCTCCACTTGGCTTCTCGGGCTCCGGTCAACGGAGAAATCTCGGCCCGCGCCAAGGCGCGATGACCACCTCCAGGCTCTCCCGGAAGAGCACCACGAAGGCAGGCACCGAGAAGTAGATGTTCGCCGCTGGGCCCTTGCTCTCCGCTGCGGTGATGTTCAAGGCCTGGCCCTGGTCGTTCACGCACTCGCACACCTCGGTGCATAGAATATAGAGAGAGGAGGGGGACATCAAGAGAGGGGCAACAAAACACCACCAGGAAAGAACCCCAGGCAAGCAACACTATCAAAGGATTGTTGAGTGACCTCCCTTATTGAGGCCCTTTGGCGGCCATTGGGCGGAGTTCCGAAGGAGAACATCGGGGAAAAAGCGGAGACATGTCAGGTTTTAGAGTGTGCACACTCCCCAAAGGCCAACAAACCAGGTTTCCGGGTTCCCACCGAGCAGCTTTCAGAGCCAGCGCCGGGCCCCAAAGACAGCAGAGACGCGAGCCCAGCACCCAGCACCCCACTCCCACTCCTCCCACGTGTCCCACTCCCTCGCCTGTGACCACTCCACGTGCCCGTAGATCTCGGCGCACTGGTTCTGGTTCAGGCCCGCGTGGCAGGCCTCGTCCTCCTCGTCGTAACACCCATACTGGCAGTACAGCCCCGTGGTGTTCACCGCCCCTGGCGGGAGAAAAACAAGGGGAGCGGAGCTCAAGTCCAAGTCCGAAAGCTGCGCAAAAAATGAAAAATAGTTAATAAATAAATAAATAAATAAATAAATAAATAAATAAGTAAATAAATAAATACATTAAATTGATATTATTATTATTTACAATGTTGTTTTTTTTTAGTTTGTTTGTTTTGTTTTGTTTTTTGTTTTTTAAAAGAAGAAGAAAAAAAACAGGTCGAGTCGACGTGCAGCGCTGGTGCCCAAGAGTCGTTTGTTTTTTTTTGGAGCTGGGAGGTCCCCGGCTCTTTGGGTGAATGAAGGGTGATACTTGTTTTGGAGCTGGGAATTGAAGGGAGGCCCAAGGGAAACGTTTTCTCGGCCCCGAGTTTGGAAACTCGGCCCCAAAATCGACGCACCAAGGTATCATCAATCCAATTCCCTCCTTGACACGTGGGGTTCCTTTTCAAAGGGGCCCTTAGACGTGCTTTGCCTGGGGTCCCGAACTTGGTCGATGTCTTGTCGCGTGGAGGTCGCGTCAGCAAGTTCTTTTCCGGGTTCTTGAGCCCTTGGGTGGTCTTTTCAACCCTTGCGACCAGGGACACTTCAGCTGATCAGACCATGTAGGAGCCGGCGCCGCTTCCCTTCCCCAGAACCTTCTCTTGCCCTCGATTCCCCCGGATTGAGAACAAATCCGAAATAAGAACCAGTGCGGGATGAATCCAATTCCAACCTGTCCCGGAACCCGCGAAACCACGGAGGGCGGCCGCAGTGAGGCCTTTCATTTGAGGGGACAGCGTTGTCAAATCCAGTGATGCCCCTGTCAGGAAACTTGCAAACTTCGAAGGCCGGGAGTTCCTGCGGGAGTCCCCACAATCCCAGAGATGCAAAGCTGTCCTGAATTGGATCCTTCGGCTCCCCGGCAATCGGCCTTGGGCGGCCCAGGAGACGCAAGCTGCCAAGAACAGCGCACGAACGGCCATGGCGAATCAGTCGAATCGCTGCAGGAGGAAACCGGCTCGCCGCAAAAAAACAGCTGCGCCGTTTCAAGAATGGCGAGGGGTCTGAAGCAAGCTCCAAAACATGGGCCAGCCGGAACCGGTGACCACGTGGGCATGGGTCAAAATTAAACCACCAGGGGACCGCAGGTCTTGGTCCTTCATTCCATTTGCCAGGGATCCGTTTTGGGTATGCATCTTTGACCCACACGTCATGTACAGCAGCATGGGGCCCTGCCTTTCAAGGCGCTTCGATCTTCCATCGGAACATCCAGGCCTCGCAGGCCCTCTGCAGCACGGAGCCCAGAACCACGTTCCGAGGCCTCTCCAGTCAACCCAGGGGAAGCTGGGTGTGTCTCAAAGTAGTCGGAACCCGAGAAGTGGCGGTTTTCCTTTTCTGGGCCGTCAGATCCCCCACTCAAAGTGACTAACTTTTAGTGGGATAATTGGAAACTACCACCAAACACCAAAAAAGTTAAAAGGCTAAGGGGATGGCTGGGACCAAGTTTTGGTTTCCCTTAAACCACCCCAAGAATGGTACCCTCCCAAAAACCGACACGCCCAGGTCCGGCAAGCCATTTATCGGGAGGGAGGATGCCGGCCTCGCTTTCGGCAAGAGGGCCAAACCCACGCGCCAGGCGCGGGATCGCACCTCGAGATTCAGTCAGCTAAGGCTTCGCCGACATGGCGTCCACCTTTGCCTATCCGGGCCTATCCCACCACTGCAAGCAACACCGGCCAGGCACACCAATGAACCCATTGCTTGCTTGACAACTCCTGAGGGCTTTCCTCCAAGGAAGTCCCCCCCCCCAAAAAAAAAAGACACCAGGTGACGGAACCTGCAGGCATGCGCACACATGCGGCACATGCGGCCGATCCAATCTCTGAGCTGCCTGCACAGCCACTGGCAGCACTGGCGAAGGTCACATCATTTGCTTGCAACCGCCTGGACAAGCAAAGGAAGTGGGAGATCGACACCAGCCCAACATGTGTGTGCTTCGTCTTTTTTGTGGAAAAAATGGTTTTGAAGGGAAACCAGCAGGAACACCACAATTTTGGGGTTCTCAAAAAAAAAAAAAAAACATGTCGCAGGAAAACCCCAACGTTCGTTTGCCAATCAATCTGTAGATCTTACAGCCGATGTTTAAGGACGATACGGGTTAACCGATTAACGTGCAGGCGCAAGGTTGGCTGGGGTAGAACACAGAAGTCAAGCTGCCCGAATCTGAGCGCTGATGCAACGCCACAATTGAATTCTGTGCCCAAGCAGCAGCTAGTTCAGTCGATTTGCACGGCAACCCGCAAAACGCCAAGCAATGCGGATACCTCCCAGCATGGTTTGCCAGTCAGCAACGAGAGACAAACAATTCGGGGCATGCGGCACCAATCTCCTGGTGCTTGAAGCGGGAACCTGCCCCCCAAACCCTCTCTGTCTGCCACAGTTTTGGGACGCAATCAAACAAAACCAATCCTGGCATCCAGACATCCAATGTTCCAGAAACCCAATCCACCACTTTTCCAAATAGTTGGCTTGCTCGTCGCGTCCAACTCAAACCCATGTGAGGAGAGGGCGAGTGAGACCGAGAGGGAGAGAGAGAGAGACAGAGAAAGAAAGAAAGAAAGAAAGAAAGAAAGAAAGAAAGAAAGAAAGAAAGAAAGAGAGAGAGAGAGCGAGAGAGAGAGAGAGAGCGAGAGAGAGAGCGAGAGAGAGAGAGCGCGAGTCTCCTCGTTTGGTCTTTGTCGAGGAAATAGCCCTTTGCAAGTTTCATGGTTGACTGATTTGTCTCTGTGTGACTTCGTGACACTGGTTTCGTAGACTGTTCTTGACGAACTTTGCAAGGGGTTCACTGGGAGTTAACTGGGGCAGCCAAAGGTGCGGCCGCATCAAACATGTGTTCCTTGACGCACAAACAAAACAATCACCAGTAAACATCGATGCTCATTTGGGGGGGGTAACAGCCCCAGCCCTCTTGCACACAGCCAAAGGGCTCGGCAGGCTCCCGGATTTCGACACACTCCCACTTGAGCCACTCACGCCTTCCTGAACGTGAGAACACCTCAAACCCTTGACTCTCGTGTCTGAAGATGGGGTACCCGCTTTTAGATGGTGTCTCAAGGGACATCACAATAACAGCATTTTGGCGTGCCCCATTTTTCGGACTTCGACTGGGACCAGCAACCGGCCTAGCCAGAAGCTCCCACAGCAGTGCCAGTGCCCTCTGCCACTGCCGGCCTCACAGGTGTGGAAGGTCAGACCCCCTTGTGGGAGTCGGTTTCGAGGTCTCCTATTTTGACACATACTCTTCTCTGTAGGGGTTATGGGCGCGATTCCCTCAGCAGGAGTCCTTGTATGAAGGGTTCATGACCATCCCGGCCCAACTGGGAATCTGGGACTACTGGTCACTTATATGTGTACATATATACAATTATATATATATATATACAATATGTGTCTAAGGTGGAGTGCACATATGATTTTCGGTACCATCATGTTTGATGTTCCCAAAACAAAACCAAAAGGGTCATGTCCACCACCCAACTGTTGATGAGTGCCCCCTATTCAGGATTTATAGCTGTGACAACCAAAAAGAAAATCCCTGTCAGAGAATCGTCCCCTTAGGCAGGCCAACAAGCAGCCAGGGCTTGGAAAGGGGTCCCCACTTTTTCCAGCACCTCTCCCTGCGTCCGTGTTGGTTCCTTTCGTAGCCAGGAAGAAATCGACTCTGAGATGAATTTCTGGGCCACTGAGAAGAACTCGAGCTGCATTGAGACACTCCCAAGAAGGGCCCTCATACAGGGAGTTGGGTACCAGGTAAGGCCTGCACTTTGCCCACCTCTTGACTACCCCCTAAGTGCGAAAAGAGCATAGTGCAAAAACCGGATGGGAATGTCTGAACGTGCCGTTCCGACCAAATGCGGGCCACTCCCGTGAAACCAGCCGCCTGGCTCGCATGCACTGATGGCCGTGGTGTAGGTGACCTCGGGATTCAACGCTGGCGCAACATTTGCCCAAAGGTCATCAGTTGACAGTTTTTGCTTTCATGGGTGATTCTGGATTCCGAATCACAACCCCCCCCCCCCTCCAAAAAGAAAAAACCATCAAATAGTGGGTCTCCATGGTATTTCCTGGGTCCACCGCGGACCCTTTTGTCCCTCAGTGGCCAAGCTTGGGCCAACGTGATGCAGGCAAAGGCGCATGCGTGAGCGCCTACAAAAACAGGCTGGGAGGTGGACGGAGTATCCCAAGAGCGTCTGATAGGTGTCCTTTTAGGGAAATAGATGGCCCTGGTAGATGATTAAACCACCAAGTAAACCAGGGCCATGTATTTTTCTAGCAAACACCTATGCTGCCGCTGCTATTGCTGTTGTGGACGAAGTGCCGTTGTTGATCTTGCCAGGCCAGCAAAAAAGAAAGTCCCCATCCAAGAACCTCGAGCTTCTTCCTTGCCTGGCACTTCTCTTGCAGCCAGTTCCCGATACGGTAGTTCTCTAGGGGCACAAGCAATCGCGAGCTTGCGGAAAGCAACATGAAGCACCGTGGAAAGGCGTCGCTCTGGTCGCAAGAGTCCGTAGAACCACCGTTTTCTAGAAAAGCACTGCAGATTTGCACATGCAGGCGACACACACTTACCTTTCTGTCAGCGCTAGATTTTCCCTTAATTGAAACATCTCGGAACTGACCACTGTTCAAAAGGGCCACAATTGAGAAACTCATTCAACAATGGCCCAAAATGTGATGCTGAAACCCAATGAGGGACACCCCTAGCCTCAAGTTTGAAGCTGAAGCATGCAGTCCAGGCCTAGAGTAACCTACATGTGGCCCCCGTTCAGGCTCCCATCCGAACGGCACGGTTCGGAGTTCCAGCACTAGGAAGTCTCGCTTTTCGCAGAAAGAGCTTGTAGAATCTGGCTGAGAACCCTTCTCGGGCCCCCGAAAAAAGCGGAGAAGGGGTGGCTCTAGCAGCGCTCCCCTGGCTTCATAACACCTGAGGCTCTCACTCTCTATCTCTCTCTCTCTCTCTCTGTCTCTGACTCCAAATTTGTAGTACACAGTACCAGGTAAACGGGGAGTCCGCACATGAGCCGAGGAGTGAAAGTATCTTCCACCTTCCTCAAGTCTTGCTGGTGCAATTGGTCGACAAGCTCGGCCAAAAGTTGATGCATCGAAGCAACATGGTAGGGACCTGCTGTCATTTGCACCAGCGGAAAGAGTGACACACTGACTGTGAAAAGCAGCAAACCCCCACAGAGACTGCCGACAAATGCATTAACACATTAACACTCAGGTCTCCTCAACATGGAGATCCTTCCAGCACCTCGAATTCTGCAGCTGATGCGCTGGGGGTGCCACAAATGGGGGGGAGGGCTCTTTTTTTTCAGAGTTCCCTTTTTGGGTGTGTTTTTTTTTTTTCTTTTTCCGGGATATGAAGGGGAAAACCGACGCCAGCTTGGGGGTGCCCTGTTTCCGACACCACCAGGGGAGCACAACCATGCGGCAAACCCTGGTTTAACGGGCTCCCTTCCACGGAAACAAGAGGGGGTTTGGGCTGGTCGGCTTCCAGTTGGCCCAGATCAGTAGCTAGGTTTTCGTCCAGATGGGCGAACCGAACTCGACAGACAACTCCGAATCTCTTCGCAATGATGGTATCTCAACAGGACCAAACAGAAGGGTCGGTCAAAGTTCCGCTAAGGTTCGATGACCAGTCCTCCTACAATTCCCAAGTAAGCACGTTCTTAATTCATAACCATGGCACGCATGAAAGCACGACCATGATGTTTAACAGGGAACCAACAACAAGAACAAAGGCAGCCTCGCATCGAAAAAGGCGTCGCGGGGCAGCCAATGTCTAGCCAAGGGGCCTTAGGCACGCTTGGACCAGTCAAAGCTTGCCGCCTGCACTGAGGACTCGCCAGTGTAGCCCAGCTTCTCCTTCCAGCCAGGGTAGATCTGGTCGGCATCCTTCTGGAAGGTCAGGAAGGCACCCTTGATCTCCTCGTGCGTCTTGGCGAACTCGATCACGCCATCACTCAGGCTGATGTTGCCAAACTGGCCCGACTTCCATGCCTTCCAGGCATCCTCACCCTGACGGCAGGAGATGGCACCAATCTTGGGGCCGTCCTTGTGGCCAAACGCGCCCCCGCCTGCGGTCAGGATCACGTTGGAGTGGCTCAGATTCTCGAAGAACGCCGGCAGTCGCAACGCGTTCATGCCGCCCGAGATGATGGGCGTGGTCTGCTTCATGCCCTGCCACTCCTGGCGGTAGTAAGGGCCATCGGCCTCATCGTCTTGCAGCATGAAGGCAATGTTCTTGTCCGACGCATCGCCCTCCATCTTGCCGAAGCTCATGGTTCCCACGTGGATGCCGGAAGCGCCGATGACTCGCGAGATCTTGGTGTGCACGAAGGCAGTGTAGCCTCGCTGGGTCTGGGGGCTGGTCACGGAGCCGTGGCCGGCACGGTGGTAGTGCAGGAACTGCTGGGGGAAGTTGCGCCTGCAGCAGGTCACTGCAGTGCCGCCGGCAACATAGCCATCCACCAGGAAGGCACAGTTCTCAGACAAGGGACCGAACTGAGAGAGGATGTACTTGCCTCGGGCAATCATCTCATTCGGATCATCTGCGGTGATGTTGGCGGAGAAGAGCTTGAAGCTGCCCGTCTCCTTGATGGCCGCCCTCATGGCCTTCACCACCTCAGGGATGCACTCGTTCATCTGGCAGAACACCTGGTTGCCCTGCGGCTCATCGTTCTTGATGAAGTCACCGCCCTGCCAAAAAGAGTAGCACGCCTCACCGAACGGCTTCGGCTGCAGGCCCAGCTTGGGCTTGATGATGGTGCCCACCACCAGGCCTCCGTTGGTCGTGCCGCGGCCAAGGATGCGCCACATGTCCATCACGTTCACGGAGGGCCCATCGTACAGCCTCAGGAAGGCTGGAGGCAGGTAGAAGTCGTAGATCTTGCCATACTCTACGTCGCCCATGCCTGCGACACAACAATCCAGCAACAGAACTACATCACGTGTTCGGCTTGCAACCGTGAAAACATGCAATATCATGCAAAAACATTCCCACTAGGTGCCAACAGGCTGCCCTGATTGTTGCCAATGGCCAGGGTGAGGAAGGAGCACATCATGCCACGGCCATCAATGATGTTGCGGTCGAAGAGCAGGTTCGGGTAGGCAATCTTCATCTCCTCATTGTCCGGGTCAATGTAGTACACCAGGGCATCCACCGACTTTGTGAAGTCATCAGTGGTGCACACGTTCACGTTGGTGCCCGTGGAGGACTCTGCGGCAAAGTGCGCAGCCGTGGCCAGGTAGTCGTAGCCGGCCTTGGGCTTCATGATGTAGGCCACCAGCACGTGCTTGCCATTCCTTTCCATGTTTAAGTCACAAACCAAATGACCAAGCAAAAAGTGAACACGCAAACTCGCACATCCCGACGAAACATTCAAAACAAAGCTATGTAATGTGAAACAAACAGGAACAAGCAATGCGACACAAATCAGCGCAGAATCATGCTCATAGCGCCAGGCAAAAGCGCACAAACCAATCTGCCTCAGAACGGCAAAACGCCCATCAACGCCGAGTCTCTTGATCAGAGTCGCCTCATCCAGGGACAGGTCCGCATAGCGGCTGGACTGGTCCAAAGCCTGGCGGGTCACCGGGCTTTCCTTCTTGGCCGGGGCCACGCTGGCACCCACAAAGGCCGCCGCCGATGCACGCTTGGACCAGTCAAAGCTTGCCGCCTGCACGGACGACTCGCCAGTGTAGCCCAGCTTCTCCTTCCAGCCAGGGTAGATCTGGTCGGCATCCTTCTGGAAGGTCAGGAAGGCACCCTTGATCTCCTCGTGGGTCTTGGCGAACTCAATCACGCCGTCACTCAGGCTGATGTTGCCAAACTGGCCCGACTTCCATGCCTTCCAGGCATCCTCACCCTGACGGCAGGAGATGGCACCAATCTTGGGGCCATCCTTGTGGCCGAAGGCGCCCCCGCCTGCGGTCAGGATCACGTTGGAGTGGCTCAGATTCTCGAAGAACGCCGGCAGTCGCAACGCATTCATGCCGCCCGAGATGATGGGCGTGGTCTGCTTCATGCCCTGCCACTCCTGGCGGTAGTAAGGGCCATCGGCCTCATCGTCCTGCAGCATGAAGGCAATGTTCTTGTCCGACGCATCGCCCTCCATCTTGCCGAAGCTCATGGTTCCCACGTGGATGCCGGAAGCGCCGATGACTCGCGAGATCTTGGTGTGCACGAAGGCAGTGTAGCCTCGCTGGGTCTGGGGGCTGGTCACGGAGCCGTGGCCGGCACGGTGGTAGTGCAGGAACTGCTGGGGGAAGTTGCGCCTGCAGCAGGTCACTGCAGTGCCGCCGGCAACATAGCCATCCACCAGGAAGGCACAGTTCTCAGACAAAGGACCGAACTGAGAGAGGATGTACTTGCCTCGGGCAATCATCTCATTCGGATCATCTGCGGTGATGTTGGCGGAGAAGAGCTTGAAGCTGCCCGTCTCCTTGATGGCCGCCCTCATGGCCTTCACCACCTCAGGGATGCACTCGTTCATCTGGCAGAACACCTGATTGCCCTGCGGCTCATCGTTCTTGATGAAGTCACCGCCCTGCCAAAAAGAGTAGCACGCCTCACCGAACGGCTTCGGCTGCAGGCCCAGCTTGGGCTTGATGATGGTGCCCACCACCAGGCCTCCGTTGGTCGTGCCGCGGCCAAGGATGCGCCACATGTCCATCACGTTCACGGAGGGCCCATCGTACAGCCTCAGGAAGGCTGGAGGCAGGTAGAAGTCGTAGATCTTGCCATACTCTACGTCGCCCATGCCTGCGACACAACAATCCAGCAACCGAACTACATCACGTGTTCGGCTTGCAACCGTTGAAAACATGCAATATCATGCAAAAACATTCCCACTAGGTGCCAACAGGCTGCCCTGATTGTTGCCAATGGCCAGGGTGAGGAAGGAGCACATCATGCCACGGCCATCAATGATGTTGCGGTCGAAGAGCAGGTTCGGGTAGGCAATCTTCATCTCCTCATTGTCCGGGTCAATGTAGTACACCAGGGCATCCACCGACTTTGTGAAGTCATCAGTGGTGCACACGTTCACGTTGGTGCCCGTGGAGGACTCTGCGGCAAAGTGCGCAGCCGTGGCCAGGTAGTCGTAGCCGGCCTTGGGCTTCATGATGTAGGCCACCAGCACGTGCTTGCCATTCCTTTCCATGTTTAAGTCACAAACCAAATGACCAAGCAAAAAAAGAACACGCAAACTCGCACATCCCGACGAAACATTCAAAACAAAGCTATGTAATGTGAAACAAACAGGAACAAGCAATACCACACAAATCAGCGCAGAATCATGCTCATAGCGCCAGGCAAAAGCGCACAAACCAATCTGCCTCAAAACGGCAAAACGCCCATCAACGCCGAGTCTCTTGATCAGAGTCGCCTCATCCAGGGACAGGTCCGCATAGCGGCTGGACTGGTCCAAAGCCTGGCGGGTCACCGGGCTTTCCTTCTTGGCCGGGGCCACGCTGGCACCCACAAAGGCCGCCGCCGATGCACGCTTGGACCAGTCAAAGCTTGCCGCCTGCACGGATGACTCGCCAGTGTAGCCCAGCTTCTCCTTCCAGCCAGGGTAGATCTGGTCGGCATCCTTCTGGAAGGTCAGGAAGGCACCCTTGATCTCTTCATGGGTCTTGGCGAACTCGATCACGCCATCACTCAGGCTGATGTTGCCAAACTGGCCCGACTTCCATGCCTTCCAGGCATCCTCACCCTGACGGCAGGAGATAGCACCAATCTTGGGGCCGTCCTTGTGGCCAAACGCGCCCCCGCCTGCGGTCAGGATCACGTTGGAGTGGCTCAGATTCTCGAAGAACGCCGGCAGTCGCAACGCATTCATGCCGCCCGAGATGATGGGCGTGGTCTGCTTCATGCCCTGCCACTCCTGGCGGTAGTAAGGGCCATCGGCCTCATCGTCCTGCAGCATGAAGGCAATGTTCTTGTCCGACGCATCGCCCTCCATCTTGCCGAAGCTCATGGTTCCCACGTGGATGCCGGAAGCGCCGATGACTCGCGAGATCTTGGTGTGCACGAAGGCAGTGTAGCCTCGCTGGGTCTGGGGGCTGGTCACGGAGCCGTGGCCGGCACGGTGGTAGTGCAGGAACTGCTGGGGGAAGTTGCGCCTGCAGCAGGTCACCGCAGTGCCGCCGGCAACATAGCCATCCACCAGGAAGGCACAGTTCTCAGACAAAGGACCGAACTGAGAGAGGATGTACTTGCCTCGGGCAATCATCTCATTCGGATCATCTGCGGTGATGTTGGCGGAGAAGAGCTTGAAGCTGCCCGTCTCCTTGATGGCCGCCCTCATGGCCTTCACCACCTCAGGGATGCACTCGTTCATCTGGCAGAACACCTGATTGCCCTGCGGCTCATCGTTCTTGATGAAGTCACCGCCCTGCCAAAAAGAGTAGCACGCCTCACCGAACGGCTTCGGCTGCAGGCCCAGCTTGGGCTTGATGATGGTGCCCACCACCAGGCCTCCGTTGGTCGTGCCGCGGCCAAGGATGCGCCACATGTCCATCACGTTCACGGAGGGCCCATCGTACAGCCTCAGGAAGGCTGGAGGCAGGTAGAAGTCGTAGATCTTGCCATACTCTACGTCGCCCATGCCTGCAACACAACAATCCAGCAACAGAACTACATCACGTGTTCGGCTTGCAACCGTGAAAACATGCAATATCATGCAAAAACATTCCCACTAGGTGCCAACAGGCTGCCCTGATTGTTGCCAATGGCCAGGGTGAGGAAGGAGCACATCATGCCACGGCCATCAATGATGTTGCGGTCGAAGAGCAGGTTCGGGTAGGCAATCTTCATCTCCTCATTGTCCGGGTCAATGTAGTACACCAGGGCATCCACCGACTTTGTGAAGTCATCAGTAGTGCACACGTTCACGTTGGTGCCCGTGGAGGACTCTGCGGCAAAGTGCGCAGCCGTGGCCAGGTAGTCGTAGCCGGCCTTGGGCTTCATGATGTAGGCCACCAGCACGTGCTTGCCATTCCTGCGCACAGAATTGGTCAAGTCAAGCTTTGTAAACTTCATGTATCAGGAAGGCGGCAGTAAAACTCCGGATGTGCAAAAAGCAACCAATCAAGGCCAAGCTTCTTGATGAGAGTCGCCTCATCCAGGGACAGGTCCGCATAGCGGCTGGACTGGTCCAAGGCGCGACGTGTCACGGAGCTCTCCTCGCAGGCTTCCTTTCATATTGGGGTCTCTCTTTGTGAGGTAGCCCTGTTTGGTTGTTGTTAAGCGAAAACACAAGGAAGGGTTCCCTTTTTTGGGGGGGTATCTCCTCTTTAAGCATCACCCCACCAAAGGGAATTGAATCTTGCCCAAAAGCTGACGTTTTAAGGACCCGAATCAATTGATCCAATCGATTGACATTGACCGCACCACGTCGGGCTGTCGAAAGCAAGAAGCGCAACACGACACGCGCCTTCACCGGCACAAAGGTGGGCAGCACCGAGCTGCGTGTCTTGCGGCCTCCAAGCGCCCCAGCGCCCAAGCCCCACGCAGCCCGCAGTCACAGACGGGAACTTAGGTGTCCCATGAAACATACTGAATCATCATCTTGAAACCCCTGCGAACCAAAAAAGCTGAGATCTCCTCCTTTCCGCTAGGCAAGCAGAGTGCAAAGGGCCTCAAATCCTCACAAATTATCCCCTTGTTGGTAAGGAAACCACAAAGAAACCACAAGAATCCATTCTGGGGGTCCCATTTCACGTTGCCCTAAGGGCGTCTCACCGCCTGCGCGGCCAGCCACGGCGGCCACCGCGCCCGCCGCTGCCAGAGGCAGCACGGAGGACGCGCCCGCGGCGGACGGGGCGGAGGCTGTGGAGGCTGTGGACTGCGCCGCCTGAAATCTGCGGCGGGCCACCAGAAGATGCCGGGGCTCATTTCGTGGGGGTGAAATTTTCCCCTTGAACAAGCAACTGCTCACAGAAAGTGGCAGGGCCACTGTGTTGACGGATGAATAAGCCTGGTGGGGTCGTTGGGTGTTCCCCAAATAAGTCGTGACGGGCTGCCTTTTGAATGAGACAACCCCAACAAAGTCAAGCAGGGGTTTAGTCACACGTTTAGTCTTTGGTTCCCATGTGTGCATCAGTTCTTCGAAAATTGCCGGACGAGAGTTCCCTCAAGATAGACTTAAAGCCAGGTGGTTGATTTAAGCCAGGGTGGTTCTTGTTTCTTCTTCTTTTTTTCGAGGGAAAACCCCCGACAACAAAGTGGTAGCGTAAGCGGGTTTTGTTTTTTTGGCCACAACACCCCGGCACACCGGCTTGGATGGCCACAATCACGCGCATTGAAGCAAACTAGAAGAAACCACGCGAGAAACGACGGGAAGTGGCGGAAGAGCCCAAAACGGCGGAAGCACAATGAAGTAGACAGAATCAAGCAGAGGCTTGGGTAGCCAGGCACCAGCCTTTGTTAGCGGCTCATTTGACTCAAAAAGAACTCCGCCAAGCCATCTGAGCTGAGACCGGATCCAAGCCCGCCCGAGCACAACTCCAACACATGCTCCCATCACTCCCACGCTGGAGACTCCACTGGCAATTTTGAGAGGAAAGGGCTCCCTGTCCTGACCGGGTGTCTTCCAGCCATGTCTCATGATAGGAACATCTGATACAACATGTGTTTGGGACATGTGGGGGATTTCTCAAAGTTAGGGCCCTTCCAGGTAGTACCAAAAAGGGGCCCGTCATTTTGAGGAACCTCCCTTTTTGTCAAACAGCAGCATGCGCCGGTATTTCTTCTTTCTTCGGGAATTGAGGGTTTCAGGGTTCCGGCTATAGGGTCTATGGTGTTATGGCTTCCGTTTAGGGTTTATGGTGTTAGGGGTTAAGTTTTTGAGTTTCTGTTTTTTGGGCTTGTGCGTTTGCGGTTTAGGTTTGGGGTTTAGGGTTGACAAGAACAACCTGCCTGCCCGGGGCGGCGGGGGCCGGGGGCGTTGTGGGCCCAGGCAAACTCCAGGAATTGGCCGCATAACGTATATAGGTATATGATATATATATATATATATATATTATTATACACACGGTGTATAATGAATAATAAAATATGTGTATACATTGACATGCATGTGTGTATCATGTTGTTTGTTTACTGGGGGCAAACGACTTAGGAGAACAAAAGCCAGCGACCAGCCCCCGTAAACGGTCGCACTCCCAAGTCATCAAGCACTCCGAGAAAGAAACCCTGACCTGCCGGTACAGCATTAAAGAAGCAAAAAGAAAGAAGAAGAACAAACCCTCAACCTTCCAGTACAACACTCCCAGAAGAAAAAACAGGAAGCTTTTGCAGCCCCCCACTTTCTCGCTGCTCGGCTCTGCACCCAACCCGTCGCCTGCACCGCGCCGCGCAGCCCCGGCGCGCCCGCGCCCGCGGTGAAGGCCTCCGAGCCGGTGAGCGCCAGGGCGCCTCAGACGTCGCTTCGGGGGCGGTGCCCCGTGTCTTGCGCTTGGGGTGTGGTTGTTGTTTTTCGTGTTTCTCGTGTTCTTCGTGTTTTTCGTGTTTCTCGTGTTTTTCGTGTTCTTCGTGTTTTTCGCTTTTTGTTTTTTTGTTTTTGTTTTTTGTTTCTGGAGGGAAACGAAAACCACCGGGGTGTTGTTGCTTCTTTTTTTCCTGGAGGGAGGGAAACGAAAGGAAAACCATGTTGGTTTGGTTGAGTTGGTAGCCCGCTTGTGTGTTGGCACCCATCTTGGGAAAGCAAAGGGAAAACCATTTTAGGGGGGGTTCTCTGGAAAAAGACACACACATTTGGGTTTAGGGTTGCTGAATGATGAAACCATGGGGTGGGGTGTTTAGAACCGAAAATACGACCGACAGAATGGTAGAGGGGGCTCTTCTTGCGAAAACAACGGAAGAAACGCATGTGGGTCCCCCCCTATTCAAAGACACACCCATTTCGGTGTGTCACAGCACGACACGAACCATAGCACCATGGCTTTCTTTTGGTCTCCTTTCAAAGCAGCCAGAGGGTCCGTTTTGCGACCCCCCCCCCCCAATTCTGTTTGCCAAACCCGGGGCTGGTTGATCTCTGAATAACTGAGTTCTTTCCAGGCGAGGGAGTGCCCTGCTTTGGTCATGAGCTTCGGAGCAGCTCCATTGCTTCCCAAAGCGAGTGGGAAAAAGGAAATGAACCTGATCGCATCAGAGGAAACCAACGATGAGCTCAGAGCAGTACCTCCTTGCTGAAAACCATTAGGTAAAGGGAGCTCGAAATAAGAAGACTTGCTTCGTGAAGCACAAAGTTCTGCCTGAAATAAAACTTGCACCCTTCTGACTTGCAAACTCTCGTGGGTTGCTTCCTTTCAAAATGCGTTGCCCCACCCTTCAACGGCGCCCAAGAGGCAAATGCGGGCGCCAGAACCCGACCGTCCCCCTGCCCCCCGCCCCCGCCCCCAAAAAAACATCCGCTCCAGGGTCCCGGCCCGCCGCGCCCGCCAGCGCCATTGAGGACCGGGACATGGGTGTTTTGTTTCTTTTTTTTCGCAACTTCCGAAGGAAGTGTCCGGGGGCCTGAGGGAAAATGGCTGCGAAGGCGCCACTGCTCAACGGAAATTCGCCCGATAGAAAAACAAAAAAAAAGAAGTAAGGATTTGAAGTTCCCAATCGGAACAACTGGCAACCTCCCCAAAGGTGGGTAACCCCTTGGGCTGAGAAAACAAATACAGCACTAGCTATTACCCTGGCGCGACCTTTGGTGAGTCCCCTCACTTGATTGCCCCAGACTTCAGCTCGGTCACAAATGGACGTGTGCAGATCCCGTCCAACTTCCAAGAACTTGTTTAATCGAAAGCTAAGGGTTCCCGTGCCCTCCGGCCTGGCGAAAAGGCAGGACTGATGGGGGGAAAACATAGGCAGCACATGGCTTAGCATTTCCAAAGTCAAGCGGTCGATCCGAAAGCGAAACAGTCGCGCGATTCTTATCAGGCACATGAGCACATGCCTTCCGTGGCCTTACCGAAGGTCGGGACTGCAAAAAAATCGAAGGCCTAGACTCGTCGCTTTGATCGGTGTTGCATTTGAGGCGGATCCAAACCCAAAAGGCAGAAGGGTTTTTCGACCGGCCGTCGATGAGGTGCTCCCAGTGAAATTCCCCCGCTCCCGTGCCAACCGAGTCCCTTCAAAAGAGCCGCACACTTTCTCTGCCTTCGCCATCGGCGAGTTGGCGGAGCCCGAAGGTTGCGAAAAGAAGAAACGTGGCAGGGCTGTTTTCCCCGCCGCCCGGCCTTGCCGCGGCATCATGCCGTGCAAGATTTATTAATTAGAGCTTTCCCTCAGGGCATTGAGATGCATTGTGCATGCCTCAGCCAGGTGCCCTCGAGCCAACCAACAGTCGACACAAGCATCCCACCATGGCCAAAATAACATCGAGCACATGGCACAGCCCCCTCTGTTGAACAGCTGTGACACCAAGCAACATATACTCCAAACAACTAAGCTGCGCACACACAAGTCACAATACCACCTCTAGGCACGCTTGGACCAGTCGAAGCTTGCCGCCTGCACGGAGGACTCGCCAGTGTAGCCCAGCTTCTCCTTCCAGCCAGGGTAGATCTGGTCGGCATCCTTTTGGAAAGTCAGGAAGGCACCCTTGATCTCCTCGTGCGTCTTGGCGAACTCAATCACGCCGTCACTCAGGCTGATGTTGCCGAACTGGCCTGACTTCCATGCCTTCCAGGCATCCTCACCCTGACGGCACGAGATGGCACCAATCTTGGGGCCGTCCTTGTGACCAAACGCGCCCCCGCCTGCGGTCAGGATCACGTTGGAGTGGCTCAGATTCTCAAAGAACGCCGGCAGTCGCAACGCGTTCATGCCGCCCGAGATAATGGGCGTGGTCTGCTTCATGCCCTGCCACTCCTGGCGGTAGTAAGGGCCATCGGCCTCATCGTCCTGCAGCATGAAGGCAATGTTCTTGTCGGACGCATCGCCCTCCATCTTGCCGAAGCTCATGGTGCCCACGTGGATGCCGGATGCGCCGATGACTCGCGAGATCTTGGTGTGCACGAAGGCAGTGTAGCCTCGCTGGGTCTGGGGGCTGGTCACGGAGCCGTGGCCGGCACGGTGGTAGTGCAGGAACTGCTGGGGGAAGTTGCGCCTGCAGCAGGTCACCGCAGTGCCGCCGGCAACATAGCCATCCACCAGGAAGGCACAGTTCTCAGACAAAGGACCGAACTGAGAGAGGATGTACTTGCCTCGGGCAATCATCTCATTCGGATCATCTGCGGTGATGTTGGCGGAGAAGAGCTTGAAGCTGCCGGTCTCCTTGATGGCCGCCCTCATGGCCTTCACAACCTCAGGGATGCACTCGTTCATCTGGCAGAACACCTGGTTGCCCTGCGGCTCATCGTTCTTGATGAAGTCACCGCCCTGCCAGAAGGAGTAGCACGCCTCACCGAACGGCTTCGGCTGCAGGCCCAGCTTGGGCTTGATGATGGTGCCCACCACCAGGCCTCCGTTGGTCGTGCCGCGGCCAAGGATGCGCCACATGTCCATCACGTTCACGGACGGTCCATCATACAGCCTCAGGAAGGCTGGAGGCAGGTAGAAGTCGTAGATCTTGCCGTACTCCACATCGCCCATGCCTGTGCCGCAAATCATCCAGCCAACGGGTGGACTGAATGTCACATGTTTATCTCGCACAGTTTGCGAAAAGGTCAAAACAATTGTGCCAACAGGTGTCGACAAGTTGCCCTGATTGTTTCCAATGGCAAGAGTCAGGAAGGAGCACATCATTCCACGGCCATCAATGATGTTGCGGTCGAACAGCAGGTTCGGGTAGGCAACCTTCATCTCCTCATTGTCTGGGTCAATGTAATACACCAAGGCATCCACGGACTTTGTGAAGTCATCAGTGGTGCACACATTCACGTTGGTGCCCGTCGAAGACTCTGCGGCAAAGTGCGCAGCCGTGGCCAAGTAGTCGTAGCCGGCCTTGGGCTTCATGATATAGGCCACCAGCACGTGCTTGCCATTCCTGCACACACACACACACACACACACAAACACAGTCATCACAGTGGCTTGCAGACCTCCAAATCCACCCCAAAAAGTATGGGCCAAAAAAAAAACGCCAAAGCCAAGTCTCTTAATCAGAGTCGCTTCATCCAGGGACAGGTCCGCGTAGCGGCTGGACTGGTCCAAAGCCTGGCGGGTCACCGGGCTTTCCTTCTTGGCCGGGGCCATGCTGGCACCCACAAAGGCCGCCGCCGCTGCACGCTTGGACCAGTCAAAGCTTGCCGCCTGCACGGAGGACTCGCCAGTGTAGCCCAGCTTCTCCTTCCAGCCAGGGTAGATCTGGTCGGCGTCCTTTTGGAAAGTCAGGAAAGCACCCTTGATCTCCTCGTGTGTCTTGGCGAACTCAATCACGCCGTCACTCAGGCTGATGTTGCCGAACTGGCCTGACTTCCATGCCTTCCAGGCATCCTCACCCTGACGGCAAGAGATGGCACCAATCTTGGGGCCGTCCTTGTGACCAAACGCGCCCCCGCCTGCGGTCAGGATCACGTTGGAGTGGCTCAGATTCTCGAAGAACGCCGGCAGTCGCAACGCGTTCATGCCGCCCGAGATGATGGGCGTGGTCTGCTTCATGCCCTGCCACTCCTGGCGGTAGTAAGGGCCATCCGCCTCATCGTCCTGCAGCATGAAGGCAATGTTCTTGTCCGACGCATCACCCTCCATCTTGCCGAAGCTCATGGTGCCCACATGGATGCCGGACGCGCCAATGACTCGCGAGATCTTGGTGTGCACGAAGGCAGTGTAGCCTCGCTGTGTCTGGGGGCTGGTCACGGAGCCGTGGCCGGCACGGTGGTAGTGCAGGAACTGCTGGGGGAAGTTGCGCCTGCAGCAGGTCACCGCAGTGCCGCCGGCAACATAGCCATCCACCAGGAAGGCACAGTTCTCAGACAAAGGACCAAACTGAGACAGGATGTACTTGCCTCGGGCAATCATCTCGTTCGGGTCATCCGCAGTGATGTTGGCGGAGAAGAGCTTGAAGCTGCCGGTCTCCTTGATGGCCGCCCTCATGGCCTTCACAACCTCAGGGATGCACTCGTTCATCTGGCAGAACACCTGGTTGCCCTGCGGCTCATCGTTCTTGATGAAGTCACCGCCCTGCCAGAAGGAGTAGCACGCCTCACCGAACGGCTTCGGCTGCAGGCCCAGCTTGGGCTTGATGATGGTGCCCACCACCAGGCCTCCGTTGGTCGTGCCGCGGCCAAGGATGCGCCACATGTCCATCACGTTCACGGACGGTCCATCATACAGCCTCAGGAAGGCTGGAGGCAGGTAGAAGTCGTAGATCTTGCCGTACTCCACATCGCCCATGCCTGTGCCGCAAATCATCCAGCCAACGGGTGGACTGAATGTCACATGTTTATCTCGCACAGTTTGCGAAAAGGTCAAAACAATTGTGCCAACAGGTGTCGACAAGTTGCCCTGATTGTTTCCAATGGCAAGAGTCAGGAAGGAGCACATCATTCCACGGCCATCAATGATGTTGCGGTCGAACAGCAGGTTCGGGTAGGCAACCTTCATCTCCTCATTGTCTGGGTCAATGTAATACACCAAGGCATCCACAGACTTTGTGAAGTCATCAGTGGTGCACACGTTCACGTTGGTGCCTGTAGAAGACTCTGCGGCAAAGTGCGCAGCCGTGGCCAAGTAGTCGTAGCCGGCCTTGGGCTTCATGATATAGGCCACCAGCACGTGCTTGCCATTCCTGCACACACACACACACACACAAACACAGTCATCACAGTGGCTTGCAGACCTCCAAATCCACCCCAAAAAGTACGGGCCAAAAAAACAACGCCAAAGCCAAGTCTCTTAATCAGAGTCGCTTCATCCAGGGACAGGTCCGCGTAGCGGCTGGACTGGTCCAAAGCCTGGCGGGTCAC